CACACCTGACGGGGCTGGACCAGGGGGGGGAGGCTGTACCGGGGGAGCAGGAGGGGGGGCTGCAGTCAGGAAGAGGGGGGGAGGAGGAACCGGGAGACCTCGACTGGGGTACCTGACGTAGTACGGAGTGGACTCCTCGAAACGGACGTCACGGGAGTCAAAGAACCGGTGAGAGGGAGGGTGGTAAAAGGTGAAGTCAGAGGAGTCCTCAGGGAAACCAAGGAAGACACAGGGGACGGCACGAGGCGAGAGCTTGTCCGCGGAGGTGTCGCGGACAAGAGCCAAGCACCCCCAGACACGAAACCGCGACGCAACACCAGGGGACCCTGTCCAAAGACTGGTCGGTGAAACCTCTGGTCGAGAGACACGTGGCCAGAGGTTCAGCTGGTGCGCGGCGTACCTGACCGCGTAGGGCCACAGAAAATGGGGGGCACAGGCGTGAGTCAGGGAGGTGCGGGCGATCTCCATGACCAGGCCTATGCGGCGCTCAGCAACCCCATTCTGCTGTGGGGACTATGGAAGCGTCCAGGACTGGCGAATGCCCTGCTCGCGACAGAATCCAGCGAGAATGCCGGAGCGAAACTCACCCCCACGGTCGGAGTGGAGGCAGCTGACACGACGACCACGAGTGTCCTCGGTGGTGAGCAACCACCTGATCAGCGTAGAAGTCACCTCAGACTTCTTCGCCAGAGGGAACACTGTGGTGTAGCGGGAGAAGTCGTCAACGACCACCATAAAGTAGCGCTCACGCTCAGGGCCTAGACGAGGGGCGGGGCCCCAGACGTCCAAGTGAAGCGTCTCAAAAGGCTCGGTGGTCGGACGAAGGGAGGAGGAGTGAGGGGCGGCGCGCAGCCGACCCTCGACGCAGGGACCACACGGCGGCGCAAGCGAAGGCGGCAGCGACGGCAAGACACGTGGGAGGCCTAGGACAAGACGCTGACTAGACATAGCGCGCAGACGAGGAAGGGACGGGTGCCCCATCCGGTGGTGCCACAGAACGGTAGGGTGGGCAAGCGACCGGCAGGAGCATGACGCAGCAACTGGAGCAGACGTAGGAACCTGACACGACACAGACACCTGGGGGGACGAAGCAACCTGGTGAGACGCGGGGACCCGAACGGGGGGGGGAACCGGGGGCAGTGGCAGTAGGGGCGGCTGCTGGTGCGACCGCTGGTGCAGCTGCTGCTGCTGCTGCTGCTGCTGCTGCTGCTGCTGCTGCTGCTGCGGCTGCGGCTGCTGCTGCTGCTGCGGCTGCTGCTGCGGCGCACGCGGGCCAGTGTGAAGAGTGTAGAGACATGAGTCCGGCTCAGCAGTAAAGGTAGCAAGAGGCTGGTAAGAGTCTCCGTCAACACACACCGCAGTCTCTCCAGAAGGCTCAAACCACACACCCACGTGCTGACTCACGAGGGGTCGCACGCCCACCAAGTTCCGGGAGAACGAGGGGACGTGAAACCCAGTGAGAGACCCGGAGGGAGCAGCAGGACACGGTAAAGTGGTAGTGTGACGTGCAGTGACTGGTCCCGTAGTGGGATCAGCCAAAGCCACAGAAACAGGCGCAGGAAGTGGTGTAAGTGTCGTGCTGTCCCGGAAGAAGCAGTGTGAGGCTCCAGAGTCCAGCGTGAACGACAGCGAAGCGTCCTCTGAGGTAGTCGCTGGTCTAGAGTCTACACAAGAACCTACACTAGCAACAGGCAACTGAGCAAGACTAGCACCTAAGCTAACAACACCAGAGTAAACAGAGTCAGAAACACTAGAGTCAACAACAGCATACATAGCATGAGGAGCACCAATCAGATCAACTAACTGCTCAGCAGACATGCCCCACAGAGCGGAGCCGTAGCGCTGAACCAGAGGAAGCCAGTCAAGAGCAGGACCGCCAACCCCGTAGGCCAACCGGACCGTGTCAGTGAGCTGAGCAAAGCACTGACCAGGGGGGTGAAAGCGGCCACAAGGGTGGCCCCGACGAGGACCTGTCAGAACCTGATAGGTGCAGGGAGGGTAAGAAGCACCGCGCTGGGGCTGACGCAGCCCCGACCCCGGAGCCAGCTGCTGACGCTGCTGCTGCTGAGGCTGGCGGGAGGAAAGGGGCTGCTGCTGCTGCTGAAGGTGCTGCTGACGCTGAGCCTGGTACCACGCCGCTGCTCCACCTAGCGGGGTCGGCAGTACAGGAGGCGACTGACGAGCTCGGGGGTCGCCGCCACCAGCAGGCGCAGTGGAGTCACCAGCCGCTGCACGAGGGGTCTCTCCAGACGCTGCACTCCCACCACCGCCAGTCGCAACAGCACCCCCACTACCTCCGCTACCTCCACCTCCACCTCCACCAGAACTACCTTTCTTGCCCCCCTTGCCGCGGGACCGTGACGCAGTCGTAACAGCAGCCGCAGTCGCGTCAGTAGCGGCAGTGGCGAGAGAGGCAGTGAAGGTGGGTAACTGCGGGACTGTGCACCCGTGGAAGAGTGGGGGGGACACAGTACTAGAGGCGGCAGCTACCGAGCGAAGGTTGCTCTCGACGTCCTTGAATGCAGACTCAAGGACCTCGATAGTCAGCTCACTAGGGTGCTTCAGCAGAAGCGCGTCACGAACGGAGGCTAGGCGGTCAGGGAGGCTAGTGGCGATGAAATAGACAGTAATCGCCATGGGGGGAGGAAGCAGTGCAAGCTGTGCCTCAGTGCAAGCAGCGCGGTAACTAGCGTCGAGCGAGCGGAGGTGAGCGATCAAGTCAGCAGAGCGCTCAAACGAGGCGAGATCAGGAAACAGGAACGGGAGGAAAAGACGGCCAAGAGAGACAGTAGCGGGAGTAGAGTAGCGGGCCTTAATCGCAGTGAGGTACGCAGCAGCGGTGCGAACCTGAGTAAAGTGGACCTACTCTGACTCAGGGAGGAGGCTGCTGAGTGCGATGCAGGCCGCAGCGTCACGCGACGTCCAAGCCGTCCGGTCAGCGCGCTGACGGGCAAAGCGAGCCGTAGCAGCGTCGTCAGGGGCAGAGCCTAAAGCTGTAGGCTCGGGGGGCTCGGGGAGGTCACCAGTAGCGTGCGACCAGAGGGTCTCGCCCCCCTGGACCTGACTCTCTAACAGACGGCGAGCGCGAAGAAGCCAGACGGAAAAGTCAAGTGGTCTACCGTCAGCGTCGAAACGAAGAACTCGCGGAGTCGCCATAGTGAGAACTAACGCGAACGAACAGGCGAGTAACAACCGGGGAGAAGAGGCAAATTAGGGTTCAGGTGGGAAGGGGACTCAGTCGCAGCGGAAGAGCGGGCTAGGGCGACGGGCCAGGGCGTAGGGTAGGGCGACGGGCTAGGGCGTAGGGTAGGGCGACGGGCCAGGGCGTAGGGTAGGGCGACGGGCCAGGGCGTAGGGTAGGGCGACGGGCCAGGGCGTAGGGTAGGGCGACGGGCCAGGGCGTAGGGTAGGGCGACGGGCCAGGGCGTAGGGTAGGGCGACGGGCCAGGGCGTAGGGTAGGGCGACGGGCCAGGGCGTAGGGTAGGGCGACGGGCCAGGGCGTAGGGACGGGACAGGGCGACGCGACGGGGCAGGGCGGCGCGATGGGGCAGGGTGACGGGACGGGGCAGGGCGACGCGACGGGGCTGGGCGACGCGACGGGGCAGGGTGACGGGACGGGGCAGGGCAACGCGACGGGGCAGGGCGACGGGACGGGGCAGGGCGACGCGACGGGACAGGGCGACGGGACGGGGGGGAAAGGGCGGGCACGACGTGACGGGGGGAACGGGCGCGACGCGACGGGGGGAAAGAGCGCTAGGCGACGGGGGGAAAGGGCGCGACGCGACGGGGGGGGGGGGGGGAAGGCGCTAGGCGACGGGGGAGAGGGCGCTAGGCTCGGTACTAGGCGCGGTAACAACGGAACCGGTACGAACGAGAGGTAGGATCAGGCTCGGGAGGGACGAACGGAGAACGGAGGAACGGGATCCCACAGGATCCTAACCTAGTTGATACCATGTCAAAATGAGGAATGATGATGCCATTGATGTTGGTTGGGGTACATATAACAAACCCTAACTTCTGTACCCCCTAAGACAAACCTCACTACAGGCTACAACATTTGACAGAGACGATCAAGTTGCTCCTGCGTTAATGTGGCGAGCGTGAAATCGGCCATGGCGGGGGTGTCGGGCAAGTTCAGCGAGAGCCTCGGTCGTGGCCGTGCGTGCTTGCGAGAGAGCACTACGAGCGGCGGTGCTGTATCGTTGAGAGACGTCTACCCCCCCCAAAAAATTGAGATAGTGGGGAAGCGAAGGTGTGGATGCGGTCCGAGCTGAGATCGTAGGCTCTGATAACCAAGTGTTACGAGTGCAATTGAGTGAACGAACGAGAATTGCACTATCGAAGCAAGAATACAATGAGCGAGGGCGTGAGCGAAGAATATATAGTGAAACTACAGTGGTAACGGTAATGGTCTGTGGTAGTCGCGCGACGAGCCTGGGACTGAGGTTGGGAAAGTGTCGAGGCGTAGGCCCGGAGCGCGGGTTACCAGCCGAGCCGTGAGGTCGGGATGCGATGTGCGAAAAATGGCGGGATGATTGTCGATGCGATGATCGCGAGTGGTAACGGTGCTGACTGAGGTGCTACAGTGATGTACGCGTTGAGCAGGGATGCGAAGTAAGGAAAAGGGATTTTCCTTACACTAGGCCTCGTTGTTTGCTCAGTAGTTGTAATCACTTCCGCGATATTGCATTCTGCGCACTCTTCTTTCATACAACTCATAACATGAACCCTCTCGCCTCGCTTCCTCGTCACGAAACCATTTCTTCATTCGTCACTTGAGCCTCGCCTTTCCTGCTCCTTTTCCCCATCTCATTTCACTCGTCAATCATTCTGCTGTCCTGGGTTGCTCCGCATAATTCCGCGATTCTCGATCGTCGATAGACCTATTCGTATATTTCATCAGTCGTTGAGTGCGATTTTGCCGGAGCGTTTAGTTTCGATGATTTGGTGTTGGTAGCCTGGTTGACGACAGGGGGAACGGGACGCAAGAGCCGCGACCATGATTCCCATTTCCGACTTCGATCAACATGCGAGGCGGCTTATTGATCCGGATCAGAGTATGTCACATTAGGCACTGAATAGCGTGAAGACCGCTGTGATGTTCATAGGGCTTTCTGACACTGTTCTAGGAGTTCGAACTGGAGCACCAGATGCTCACGCTCACTGTTGTATTCAGCTTCTACGTTATCGTCGTCGTTGTTCATCAAATGAGACTCCGTGCCGAAGTTACTGACGTCAAGTATTGCAGTTTCATGCGTTTTTCCCGTCAGTTTCCGGTTCCGTGTGTCGTGAAAAGCCCTAGTGAGCCTCCCGTTAGCGCTCCCCCTCTCCCCATGCCCACCCTAATACCCCCTGATCCCCGCCTGCTCCCCCCCTGCTTTCCGCCTGTGCTCATCCTACGCTCATCCCGTATTCCGTGTTCGTGTCGTTGCATTAACAATCACAGCGCCGCTGCAGCGCCTGCAGCTGGCGACGGAGGTGCGCGACAGCATCGAGATCGCGCACACGGCGGAGTATGGCAACTTCCTGCGCGCCTACTTCCATGTCTTCGTCGCCGTCCTCCGCCAGCTCACCACGCCGCAGGTACCGCTCTCTGCGCACTGCGCACTGCGCTCTCTGCTCTGCGCTCCGCGCCCTACGCCCTACGTTCTGCATCTCTGCGCTCTGGGGGCTTTGCGCTGCGCTCTTTGCTCGCCATTGATTCCGGGCCGCACCTTTCAGCAGCTGAGTGCGAGCATGGTGTCGTGTCGTGTTACATGAAATGTATGCACGCAGTGAGCTTCCAGGACACCATTTCATTTCTTTTCACTTTGCCCTGACCAGCCAGGTCTTTCGGTTGAGTTCACTTCACTCCTCCCCAACCCCTTTCTCCTTCTCCCCGCTCCCCCTCTCCCCCAATCCCCCGTCCCCCCGGCTTTTCTCCCCCCCTAACCCGCACTGTTCGCGGACAATGTCGAGCACAAGTTCTTGAGTCGACTCATAATCCCCCGTCACCCTGCTTCCCTCCCTCCTCTCCCCATCCATGCGCGCACTTCATGGACAATCTCGAGCACAAGTTCTCGACTACACTTACATTTCCCCGTCCCCATGCTCCCCTCCCCCGCCACACGCGCAGCTTGCGGACAACCTCGAGCACAAGTTCCGCAACGTCGTTCTCGAGGTCCTCAACCGTCTGCCCCACAGCGAGGCCCTACAGCCCTACGTGCCGGAGCTCCTGCGCGCGGCCCTAACCGTCCTCGCCACGGACAACGAGGACAACGCAATGGTAGCCCTGCGCATCATATTCGACCTGCACAAGAACTTCCGCCCCAAGCTCGAGCACGACGTGCAGCCGTTCCTCGACTTCGTCTGCAAGATCTACCAGTCCTTCCCCGCCACCGTCAGCTTCTTTTTCGATGAGGGCGGCGGCGGGGAGCAGATGCGCCGAGCAGCAGGGATGGGGGACGGCGCGGCAGGGGGAGCTGCCGGCGCTGGCGCTGGGGCAGGGGGGCTAGGGGGAGGGCCGGGAGGGGTTGGCGGTGGTGGTGGTGCTGGGGTGGCGGTGCCAAGTCAGCTGAATCCGTCCACTCGGTCGTTCCGAGTGGTGACGGAGTGTCCGCTGATTGTGATGTTTCTGTTCCAGGTGTACCCGCGGTACGCGGGGCACAGCATCTCCGTGCTGCTGCCGCTCATGATGCAGTGCATTGCCATTGTGGGGCCGTCGCCGCACCACCACGTGCCGCCGCGCCTCAAAGCCGCGTATGCTGACCTCAAGGCAGCTCAGATCAAGGTGCGTGCTGGGGGTGGTGTGGCGTAGCGCGGCGTGTCATGGCCTGTCGTGTCCATGTGGCTCGGAGAGTTATCATGCTTTCTCTTAGTTGATTGCCTGCGTTACGGTTTGGCGCCGTTTCGTTGTTCTCCACACATGCCTTAACAAGAGCGGCGGATTCTGTTGTCGCTTCATCATGCTCTCACCTCACGCATCTATTCCTCGGCACAGTCTCATCTCACGCTCTGCTCTGTCCCCCACCGCGCCCCTCATTTGTTCCTCTCGCCCCCTCTCTTCTCTCCCTCCCTCCCCCATCGCTCGCCCATGCTGCTCCCCTCCCCCTCCCTCCCTGCAGACGGTGTCGTTTCTGACGTATCTGCTGAGGGGCTATGCGGACATAATCCGCCCGCACGAGGCAAACATCGCCAAGAGCATCGTCAACCTCCTCCTCACATGCCCCGACGTCGTTGCCACTCGCAAGGTGCGTGCTCCCAGCCTGAATCTCTCCCGCCGCGCTCCCTGCCTCCCTCCCTGCCTGCCTTCATGCCTGCTTGCCTGCCTGCCCACCCGCCCGCCCGCCCGCTTGCCTGCCTGCCTACTGCTGCGCTGACCACCCCACCTCCTAATGGCCCTCCACAAGCATGTGTTCAGTCCATATGGCTCTTTCCTGCCTCCCCACTGCATGCTGATGCCCCTTCCTCCTTACCACAACCCCTCCTCTCTCCCATCCCTCGTTCTGTCCAAGGTGGAAAATTGCGCTGAGCGAAATTTTCGAGCCGAAATTTTCGATCGAAATTTTCGGCCGTTTTTGTAATATTTCGGCGAAATTTTAATGGACCTAAAAAAAAAAAAAAGACAGATCCGCCCTAGATTTGACGGCGAAATGCCAGATCCGCCCTAGATCTGATGGCGAAATGCCAGATCCGCCCTAGATCTGATGGCGAAATGCCAAATCCGCCCTAGATTTGATGGCGAAAGGCCAAATCCGCCCTAGATCTGGTGGCGAAATGCCAAATCCGCCCTAGATCTGATGGCGAAATGCCACATCCGCCTATATCTGGTGGCAAAATGCCATTAGAATGTCCACCCATGAAATTTTATCCGATTTTCTCCTTTTTTTTTCCTGAAAATTTCGGACGAAATTTTCCACCAAATATTTTTTTGGAAGGGGGACCGAAATTATGGAAATTTTCGCCCAAAATATGAAAAATTCGGCGACATTTTGCACCCTGGTTCTGTCCCACTCTCCCCGCCCTTCCCTCTACTCTCCCCACCTGCGGTTCCTCGCTCCTTGCCGTGCGCGCGCACAGGAGTTGCTAGTGGCAACACGCCACGTGCTGGCCACGGACTTCAAGAGAGGCTTCTTCCCGCAGCTCGACACTCTGCTCGACGAGAGGTGCTGTGCTGCTCTCTGCTGCTCTCTCCGATGCTGTCTCTGCCGCTCTACTCTTTGCTGCTCTGTGCTGCTCTGCGCTGTCTTGATCTGCTCTGCTCTGTGCTAATTCTCTCCCGTTTCCCCCCCCCCCATGCTCTCTCCCACCCACCTCGCCCACACGGTCCACGTCGATACGCTCTGTGCTTTCTTCTATCAGATCCTGTGGCTTGTGTCCGCCAAAATGTGGCCTGAACCACTAGCAACTTTCACGCCAACAACCCCTATTGCCAGCACGCATCTCCCTGCCACCTGCCTACCGTAGTGCCACCTGCCCGTTTACACCGTGTCTTGCATCGCCCCCCTTCTTCCCCTCCTGTCCCCGGTTCCAGAGTCCTTGTGGGCACCGGCAGGGCGTGCTATGACACGTTGCGGCCTCTGGCCTACTCTTTGCTAGCGGAGCTCATTCACCATCTCAGGGACGAGCTCTCCCTCGGCCAGGCAAGTCTCATTGCTTTCTCTTCTCTTCACTGCATGGCACCGCACTGCACTCCGTGTTTTGAGTCAACTTGAAACACGTCCTCTCGTCTACTCTTTGCTAGCGGAGCTCATTCACCATCTCAAGGACAAGCTCTCCCTCATCCAGGCAAGTCTCATTGCTTTCTCTTCTCTTCTCTCCTCCACCGCACCACACCGCACTGCACTGCATTGCACCCTGTGCATATGCAGTGTCCTTCTTCTTTGTGTTACTCTTTCTAGTTGCCGTAACGACGTTGTGGAGTGCTGCTTATGTCTTGGAGGTGATTTGCACCTTTGGATTCTCAATTGAGCGCTATTATGACCACTACTCGCTTCACCTCACCTACCACCCGTCCGTTTTCCTGTGCTCTGCCCTCCTCACCCCCCCCCCCTCTCCTACCCCCCTTCCCTCCCCCCACCTCCCCCTTCTCCCCCTCTCCCTCCCTGCGCTTGCCTCACATTGCAGTTGTCACGCATCGTGTATCTGTTCTCGCGCAACGTGCATGATGCATCGCTGCATCTGTCGGTGCAGACAACATGTGTTCGCCTCATGCTCAACTTGGTACGTCAACTGCGCTGCGCTGCTCCTTAGCCATCCATTTATCGCCACCTCACCACAGGCTGCCGCCTCGGGCCTCGGGCCTCCTTAAAAACGCTCACTGGCTCACCACAGGCCGCACTCTCCCTTTTTTCAAAGTTACGCAGGCTTTCCATTGATGGCCCCGTTCCGCATGCCACTGTGCGGCTCTGCTCCGCATGACACTGCCCTGCATTGAGTCTCATGCCTGGGCGCCTGCCTCATGCCACTGTCTGTCTCTGTGTGTGACGCTCTGCATTGATCAGGTGGAAACCATCTTCAAACGTCGCCTTGCCCACGAGGATGGCCGCGTGCTGCTGGTCAGTGCCCACTTCCCCTTCTCTCCCCCCCCAGTCAACCCCCGTTGTCCTGCCCCTCTCCACCTCGCCTCCGCTCCTACTTCGCTCTTCCTCGCTTCTCGTTGCTGCACTCTCCTGATTCCTCTCTCACTTATCTCTTGCTGCACTGTGACTCGTTTTCTGTTGGTTCCTGCCTGCTTCGAGCGCTCGCAGCGTGTGGTAGCATGCACCATTCATTCACACCGGGTACAAGGCCTGCTTGTTTCCCAACATGGGAGCATCCGATCCGTGGTTACAGCACCACTTCGTTTGTAACCCAGCATGCACCATGGGACCGCTCATGCATGCAGATTCTCTCTCTCTCTCTCTCTCTCTCTCTCTCTCTCTCTCTCTCTCTCTCTCTCTCTCTCTCTCTCTCTCTCTCTCTCTCTCTCTCCACCCGCCCATTGTCCGTTGTCCGCCTTTCCTCCCTCCCCCCCCTCCTTCCCACATCCTCCTGCCCGCTTTCCACTGTGCTCTCGCATGTATGTAACCACATCATCATCATCATCATCATCATCATCATCATCATCATCATCATCATCATCATCATCATCATCATCATCATCATCATCATCATCATCATCATCATCATCATCATCATCATCATCATCATCATCATCATCATCATCATCATCATCATCATCATCATCATCATCATCATCATCATCATCATCATCATCATCATCATCATCATTGCCCTTGCCCGTGGCAGGATCGCATTCTGGATGCGTTTGTGAGCCGCTTTGGCACCCTCAAGGAGAGTGTTGAGTCGGTGAGCTTGCACCCGCACTCACGCTCGCCCTCGCACACGCAGTCGCACACATGCACTCGCAATCGCTCGCGCTCCCATGTTTGCACGCTCACACACACGCACGCATGCCCACTGCGCACACACACACGCCCCTCTGCTTGCCTCGTTATCACTACTCTGCTGCGTTGCTGAGGCTCCCATGTCTCTGTTGCGTGTGTGTGTGTGTGTGTGTGTGTGTGTGTGTGTGTGTGTGTGTGTGTGTGTGTGCATGGCAGCAGTTAATGGAAGAGGTGGGGGCGCCTGATGCAGCACCTGAAGAGCGCCGTAGCCTCAGAGCCCGCCTTGAACTGCCAGTGCAGGTCCGTTTGCGTGCGTGCGTGCGTGTGCAATGCTGATTTTTTACAACACATGGGTGCAAGGCTGCTAGTGAAGATCCATGTGCGCAGCGCTGCTTTGCACAACACGTGGGTTTCTCCCTGTGTCTGCCATGCCCCGTGCCCCACAATGGGTCATTGGGCACAGGGCACGGGGCACAATTGTGTCTGCCGTGCCCCATGACCCATGACCCATGGCCACTGCTCGCTCCAATTGTGCATCAACCCATAGCTACCCGCCCACCTGCCCCTTCCCCTCAATCTGCTTCTGCTCGACTTCTGCCCGCCTTGTCCGGCTCTGGTGCTGCCTGCTCCTGTCAAACCACCGTGTGACGGTGGTGTGCGATGGTGTGCGGTGTGGTGGTGTGTTGCAGAGTGCGCTGGCGGGCCATGTGGCAATGGACTATGCCAAAGAGGTGGCGGACTTCAAGCAGCTTATTCGCACACTCATCATCTGTAAGGCCCACCCCAGCCCACCCCAGCCCACCCCAGCCCAGCCTAGCCTCTTCAATAAGCTTGCACCACCTGGAGCATCTTGTGACCTCGATTCGTTTGGCTTGTCCTCCTTGGGCTCTGTCCGTTCCTTGTGCCACGGAAGTCATCGTTCCCCTTGGAAAGATCGTTGAAGAATTTAATTCCCGCATCGCCGTGCTCTCAGCATAATTTCCAGCGCTCTCCATCAATGTGCCGTCCCCATTGCCCCACCAGCCATGAAGAGTCTGCTGTGGAGCATAACACATTTCTCGAATGCAGCACCGCAGCAGACACACCCAGCCATGCCTAACACGCCCCAGCTGTCAGGCAGCAAGGGCATGCGGCAGGAGGAGGTACGTGCCTTTTTGGAAAAAAAAAGAAGTGAATCTATATGTACGTATAAATTTTATAATATAATCGCTCACAAAGGGTTGCGCCAGGAGGTGGTGCAATGCAAACGAAGTACTGCTTTGCTTTTCACGCCTGGCTACGCCAACCAGGGTTTGCCCTGCTTGCCTGGTTGTCATTTAGTTTGGCCAGAATTCTCCTCTCAAGCATGCTATCTTCAGGGTCCACACATGCTCTCGAGCCTCGCTATGTTTTTGTTGACCTTTGTGGCTAGCGTCTTTCCTCTCTTGTACAGCTTTCCACGCTGTACTCAATCCATTTCATTCTGTGCGGTGCGGTGCGGCGCGGCCACCAGGTGCTGCTGGCGAGTGCGATGCTGCGCAGTGGAGTGCAGTGCCTGGCGGTGTTCAAGGAGAAGGAGGACGACGACACGTTCCTGCACTTCGCGTCTGTGTTCACAGTCATGGAGCCCCGGGACCTCATGGATATCTTCTCCCTCACCATGCCCTCGCTCTTCCAAGCGCTCCTCAACAACTCGCAGCTGCTGCAGGTGCGTGGGTGGGGAGGGGGGCACTGCCTGCCTGCTCTGCACTGCACTGCTTTGCAGCACTTCACTTACATGTTCCTTGCAGCCCATCCCTTCCTTACGGCCCCTTCACTTCACTTGCAGCCCATCCCTGCTCCTTGGTTTCATGTGTAACGGTGGGCGTGCGCGTGCGACTGTTTTTCATGGGCTCTTGGGTCGCTCTGTTGTGATGTTCGGTGTTGTTGTTGTGTACTCTCCTGTGCTGTACCAGGTAGTAATTTTTCAATCCCAACAATCTTATCTCATTCTACTTCCCCTTCCCCCATTCCCATTCCTCGGCCCCTGCCTCCTTCCCTCCTTCCCGCCATCTGTCCGTCCATCCTCTCCCCTCTCACCCCAACCCCCCCTCCCACACAGGTCTTTGCAGCGCTCCTGCAGAACCATAAGGCGTGCCGGCACTTCGCCGAGGTACTCGCGAGCTTCCTCGTTACCTCACGCCTGGACGCGCTCCGCACGCCCGACACGCCAGTAGCAGGGCTCGTGCAGCAGCTCTTCCGCCTGCTCTTTGGCGCCGTTGCCAAGTACCCCAACGACTGCGAGCGCGTGCTGCAGCCCCACATATCCGCCATAATGGACGCCTCGTTAAAAGCCGCCACGGACCTCGACCGCCCGCACGCGTATCTCCAGCTGCTGCGCATGATGTTCCGAGCGCTCTCCGGGGGCCGCTTCGAGCTGCTGTATCGCGAGTTTGTGCCGTACCTCCTCCCCTGCACCAACACCATTGTCTCGCTCCTCAACGGCCCCTCAGGCCCTCAGCTTAACGATCTGCTGCTGGAGCTCAGCCTCTCTCTCCCTGCTCGCCTCTCCTCGCTGCTCTCCCACCTCCCGCGCCTCATGAAACCCCTGCTGAGGGCCCTTCGCGGATCTGAAGAGCTGGTGGGGCTTGGGTTACGTACACTCGAGGTCTGGGTTGACTCGGTCAACCCAGACTTCCTAGAGCCAGCCATGGCTCCTGTGCTACCGGACCTGCTGCTCTGTCTCTGGTCGCATTTACGCCCGAAGCCGTACCCGTATGGCAGCAAGGCGCTGCAGCTGCTGGGGAAGCTGGGCGGGCGAAACCGCAGGTTGAAAGACCCGTTGGTGCTGGAGGCAAAGGAGAATCCGGAGCATGGGCTGCGGCTGATTCTCACGTTCGAGCCCAGCACATCGTTTCTCGTGCCCCTGGACCGTTGTGTTCAGCTGGCCTACGCTGCCGTCATGGCAGGCCCGCTTCCCCCCCCGCTTCCTTCTCCAGGAGTTACAACAGCAGCAGCTGCGGGCAGTGGAGCAGGAGGAGGAGCTGCAGGAGCAGCAGCAGCAGCAGGAGGAGCAGCAGCAGCAGGTGGTGGTAGCGGTGCGGCTGGTCCGCCTGCTGTTGCTGCAGGGCCAGGCACGATGCAGCAGCAGGGGCAGCAGGAGCAGCGTGGCATCCAGACAAAGGCAGAGCCGCAGGAAGGGAAGGGTGGGGAGGTGAAGGCAGAACCAGGGCAGGCAGGGACCACAGGCGGGCCGAGTAGCGGCCACAGCGCTGCTGCTAGCGGCCCTGCTGGCCAATCCACCACTTCAGCATCCTCTCGTTCCTCCTCCAACCCCTCTTCTGGCGCCATTCCCACGCCTCTCGGGACCTTCTCTTCCTCCTTGCCCTCTTCCTTCTCCAACCCGACTCTCACGCTGCACCTGCGGCGGCAGTCGCTGAGGTTCCTGCGTGTGTGCCTGCTGTCGGTGCTGAATCTGCGGGGGAATGTGGATCGCGAGGCTGGGATTAGCTCGCAGCAGCTGGCCTCTCTGCTGCTGTCTCCTGCTGATCGCAGCAGGCACCGCGTGGAGTTTGCTGCTCCTAAGGTCAGTAGCAGTCAGTAGCCTCCACGAGTAGGCGCTTGCGGGATGATACGGCTGCTGGAACAGTGCATGAAGCACCACGTGCTCACACGATGGAGTACGCAGCACTTGGGTGGTTCCTTGGCATTCCAACCAGTGCCATCTGGCTGTGCTTCTGTGCCAACAGTATCATCACTATTGCCGCCCTGCCACTGTTGAAACTGGTGTGTCGGTTTTTCTTCTTGTGACCCCAACAGGTTGACATTGGGGCGAAGACGAAGACTCAGCTGCAGGCGGAGCGAGCACTGTTCAAGCAGCTGCTGTGTGCTGTCATTGCTTCCTCCTCTCAACCAGAGCTTCAGGTGAGAGCCTGAGCAGTGTCAGAGTCACAGCACAGTTAGAGTCAGTCACAGTCAATCACAGTCAGTCACAGTCAGTCAACCATCGTCACACTCGCAGTCAGTTATGGTCACAGCCAAAGTTGCAGGCCAGTGCAGGTTAGATGCAGGCTCAGGGTTGTCTGTTAGGGTTTCTGGGTACTACATCACTAATCATTACCAACCAAGTTGTCCCTCACTCTCGACGCCTCTCTTCTGGCTCATGCTCTCTTTCCTCAATCTTTGCTCACGTCCCTCCGTTCATTCATACTTGTTATGACCCTAGGATCCCGATGAGGAGTTGGTTCTCAATATCTGCCGCCACTTTGCCATTCTCTCGCACCTCGACAACAACCAAGCCACCCCCCCCCCTGCAGCCCCCAGTGCCACCACCGGCACCACGCCTCCTCCTGCTGCCTCCCCCGCCGCCACCGGGCCAAGTTCTGGTGCTGCTTCTATGGCAGCAGGCAGGGTAGCAGGTGGAGCAGGGAGCGTTGGGCAGAGAGGAGATGCAGGCAGTAAGGATGAGGTGATGGGGGATGTTACAACGAACCAGCAGCAGGGAGGCATGGCGAGGAAGAGAGGCAGGGAGGAGGAGGCCGGCAAGGTAAAGCCGGAAGCAATGGAGGTGGATGGGAGGGGTCTGGCCGCGGGAAGGCCAGTGGCAGTGGGGAAGACTGCTGATGGAGAGGGCGGGCAGCGGGATGGTCCTGATAGGAAGCGGCGGGTGGTGGGGCAGCAAGGGGGTGCCGAGGGTGCGCAGCAGCAGGTGGCTGTTCGGCCAGTCCCTCCTGCTGTTGCAGTGCCAGCAGCAGCGCCAGGAACAGCCCCAGTAGTGGTGGCAGTACCAGCAGCGGCAGCAGCTCCAGCAGTGACAGCACCAGCAGCGGCGGCAGCGGCAGTGGCAGCGGCAGCAGCAGCAGGGAAGGCGTCACCGTCAGGCATTGCTGTGCCAGCAGCAGCGCAGGGCAAAGGCGTGGTGGCTGCCTCACCCCAGAAAGGCCAGGTGATGGTACAAGCAAGAACAGGCCTAGCCCCCCCTGGCCAGCAGCAGCAACCATTGCAGCAGCAGCAGCAGCAGCAAAGGCAGGCACCAGCAGCGGCAGCGGCACAGGGACAGGGGGTTCGTCCACAAGGAGTGGTGGTGGCGAGGCCACAGGGAGTGTTGCCTCAAGCACAGCCGGCAGCGGCGCCAGTTCAGCCTGCGCAGCCCGGAGCAGTGCGACAGATGGTTCAGGGGCAGGCTCAAATGCCTGGCGTTGCACAGCCAGCTGCATCGCAGCAACCTGTAGCAGCTGTGGCGGGTAAAGCAGCACCAGTAACTGCAGCAGCACCAGCGGCTCTAGCAGCACCAGTGGCGCCAACAGCTAAAGTAGCAGCACCAACAGCTTCAACTACTGGTGCAACACCAACAGCTGTAGCAGTATCGGCAACTGTAGCAGCCCCTTCACCTGCAGCTGTAGCAGCCCCTGCAGCTGTAGCGGCACCTGCAGCTGTAGCAGCTCCTGCAGCTACAGCATCGCCAGCCACAGCAGGCAGGGCAGCGGTGGCAGGTGTACCAGCTCTGGCCGTCCTTCAGCTGGGGCAGGCGGCAGTAGCAGCTGCAAGCGCACAAGTGGCAAGGCCCTCACAGGTGAAAGCAGCAACTGCCCCAGGGAAAGGTGTTGGTGTGGTGGCAGCTCCTGTGGCCGCTCCAGTGCAAGGATCAGCGCAGGCACAGGCGCAGGCACAGGCGCGGACACAGGCACAGGCACAGGCACAGGCACAGGCGCAGACACCGGCACAGTCGCAGACACAGGCACAGGCACTGCAGGCACAATTACCAATTACAAAGGGACAAGAGGAGGGACAGTCCCGACAGAGCACACAAAGCACAGGAGCAGATGCCAAGGGAAGTGGGTCCGGTGAGCAATTGGCCGCACATGGGACCCAGGTGCAACTGAGCAAGGCCAGTCAGTCGACGGATGAGGAGAAATCAAAGGAGAGTGTGGTGGTGGAAGAAAAGGGTAAATCTGTAGGGGAAGCAGATGTAGCAGGGTTGAGAAAAGAGGTAGCGGAAGGGGTTGAGGAGGAAAAGAAGACGAGTGGAGTCAGTCAGGTTGAGCAAGGGAAAGGTAGTGTTGAGGGTGAGGAGAAGAAGGAGAATACAGGGGAGGGAGGGAAGGACAAGGAAGTAGAGACGGAGGAGGGCAAAAGAGAAGGGAAAGAAGAGGAAGGAGATGTAAAGAGAAAGGAGCCAGCGGGTGGTGCCACGTCTGATAAAGAGGAGCGGGAAAAGGCTGTGATGGGGGATGTGAAGCCGAGTGGAGAGAAGGCAGAGGAGGGTGCTGCGACAGTGGCGGTGGCTGCTGAAGTGAAAGTGAAAGATGCCCAGGGCACGAAGAAGGAGGAGGAGAAGGAGAAGGAGAAGGCGAGGGAGGAGAAGGAGAAGGAGGAGGAAAAAGAGAAGGAGAAGGAGAAGGAGAAGGAGAAGGAGAAGGAGAAAGAAGCAGAGAAGGTGAAGGAGGAAAAGGGGGATGAGGAGAAGGAAAAGGAGGAGGACAAGGAGGGCGCACCGAAAGGTACTGGTGGGGCAGTGGAAGTTACAGGAGTGAAGGCGGACGGGGAGGATGCTGGAAAGGGCGCTTCTGCTGCTGCCACTACTACAGCTGCCACGGCTGACTCGGATGTTGAAGGAAAGGAGACAGGGGCAGGAGATGCGAAGGATGGAGGGGTTGGTAAGGACAGTGCGAAAGTTGAAGGGACGCATGAGGGTAAGGATTGTGCAGGACAAGAGGCCGAGGCAGGAAAGGTGGAGGTAGGTGAAGCTGCTGCTGCAGGAGGAGAGAAGCATGAAGGGGAGGTGGAGGAGGGACGTGAGGGCACAGAGGGCATGGCAGTAGATGCGAAGGACGCTAAGGGTGAGACTGAGGGTAGGGAGGAGGTGGGAGGGGAGGCGAGGGGAACTGGTGATGAAAAGGAGGGTGGGGGAGGCGTGGTAGAGGAGAAAGGAGAGGCGGGCAAGGAGGGTGGAGGAGGGGAGGGAGGGACTGAGAGGGGAGGGGAGCAGTCAGGGAAGGAGGATGAGGAGGTGAAGTTGAGTACAGCAGAGGCTGCTGTTGAAGGAGTGAGTGGGACGGGTGGTGAAGCAAGGGAAGCTGGTGCAGGAGAGAAGGGAGATGTGGCTATGGAGGAAGGGAAGGGTGAGGTAGGAGAAGGTGAGGGGGGAAAGGGCGAGGGGGATAAGGTGGAAGAGGGTACTGGGGAGGAGGGAGAGAAGGGGGGTAAGGCGGAAGAGGCTGTTGCTATGGATGTAGAGGCAGGGGGGAATGCGGTGAGTGGAGTGGAAGATGCTGGGATGGCCCTGGTGGAAGCGAGTGAGATAACACAGGAGGGTAAAGAGGAGGGTTTGGGGGAAGAGGAGAAGGCGGAGGTAGCACAGGAGAATGAAGCGGAAGCTATGGAAGTGGAAGGCGAGAATGGGGGGGCGGGTGAAGTGAGGAAGAAGGTGGAGGAAGGGGAGAAGGAGGGGGAAGAGGAAATGGTTGGGGAAGAGGAGAAGGAGGGGGATGGGGAGAAGGTGGGGGAAGGAGAGAAGGAGGCGGATGTGGAAAAAGAGAGCGAAGCAGGGAATGGGGAAGCTGGTGGGGAGGCTGAGAAAGTTGAGATGAAGCAGGGTGGGGATGCTGAAGAGGGGAAAGAGGCGAAAGAGGAGAAAGAGGAGAAAGAGGAGAAAGCTGAGGAGGAGAAAGAGGGGAAAGAGGAGCAAACAGAGCAAGAGAAAGAGGGGAAAGAGGGAAGCGAGGGAAAAGAGGAGAAAGTGGAGAAAGAGGAGAAAGCAGAGAGAGAGGAACAGGGGAGAGGGATTCAAGGAGAGGAGGCAGAGGATGGAGAGAGAGTGAAGCTCTCAGAGGAGGGGAAACATAGAGAGGGAGAGGCGGGAGGTGGTATTGCAGGGAAAGAGGAGGCAGCTGCAGGCATGGAGGTGGAAGGGGAGGGTGAGGGGGATGGGGCGGGGAACGCGGGCAAGGGGAATGCAGAGGGCGAGGCAGGTGAAGCGGGAGAGGAGAAGGCAGGGAGAGAGGAGAAAGTTGAAACGACGGTGGTAGCTGGAGAGGAGAAGACAGAGGCGGGTGAAGGGGAGGAGGAGAAGGCAGGTGGGCAGAGGGCTGAGGAGGTTGCTGAGGGAGAAAGAGAGGAGAAGGGCGATTTGAAAGAGAGTGAGAGAGAGGCACAGGGAGGGGACGCGCAGAAAGACGTGGAGAAAGAAGGAGAGGCAGCAGTGGAGGGTGGTGCAGGGGAGGAGCAGGCACAGGGTGCAGAGGGGACAGAGCAAAAACCAGAGGAGGGTGGTGGAGAGGCGAGCGCAGGGAAGTTGGAGGAAGACGGGAAGGAAGAAAGGAAAGAGGAGGGGGAGGATGATACAGGCGCGGGAGAGGGGGGTGATGCAGAAGCGGGGAAGGATGAGGAGGGCGACGGAGAAGTCGCAGCAGTGGAGGCAGGGGGAGATAAGGCGGAGGGAGGGAAGGAGGGTGATATGGAGGTAGAGGAGGTGGGGCGGAGTGGGCCTGAGGGGGGGGAGCAGGCAGAGCAAGGTCGGGAGGAGGAAGGTGCGGAAGTGGGAGAGGGGCAAGGTGATCCTGTGGGTGCGGCGGATGAGAAGGAAGAGAAAGTGTTGGAGGAACAAGGGATGGACAAGGCAGGGGAGGTTGCGGAGGGAGAAATGAAGGACAGTGCAGATGGTGGCGTGGGCGGAGTAGAAACGGAGCAGGGGGGGCAGAAGGAGGAGAGCAAGCAGGGCGAGCAGGGGGAGCAGGGGAAGCGGGCAGCGGAGCAGGGTGGAGTTGATGGGAAGAAGGGGTTGGAGGAGGGACATGAGGGTGGGGCCAAAGGGCGCGGGAAGGAGAAGAAGGAAGGGGAAGAAAGTGCTGGTGCTGAGGGGATGGATGAGGAGAGCAAGGCGGAGAAGGGCGAGGGAGGTGGTGCAGAGAAGGTGGGTGATGCGGAGCAGAATGGTGCTGAGGGGGGAGAGGGTGGAGAGGGTGGGGCGGGAGATGGCAAGGAGAAAGGCGAGCATGAGGAGCAGAAGGGAGGTGAGGTTGTGGCTATGGAGGTGGATGGGGCTCGAGGGGAGAAGGAGGAGGGTGGGGCGGAGAGGACAAAGGACGCTGCTGCTGCTGCTGCTAAGGAGGAGCAAGGTAAGGTGGAGGAGGAGGAGGTGAGAGAAGATGGAGGAAAGCAGGACGATGGTGTGACAGGGAAGGAGGAGCCAGAGGTCAAGAAGGGAGGAGCATGTGATGAGACGACTTGTGCCGCTGCTCCTGATAAGACCAACGAGGTTGAAGAGAAGGCGGAAGGGACAGGGACTGGAACAGAGGCAGGCGCGAGAGCAGGGACAGGGACAGAGATTGGCACAGGGACAGAAACAGGGTCAGTTGCAGAAACATCAGGGACAAAGGAAGTGAAGGAAGAAGAGAAGGCGGAGGGGAAGGAGCCATCGCAGGGCGCAGGAGGCTCAGAGAAGGCAGAGGAAGAAGCGGAGGAAAAATTGGAGAAAGGAGTGGAAGCAGAGGCGATGGGGAGTGGAGAGGCGGAGGCTCATGGGGAGGAGAAGGGTGTGGTGAAGGTCACGGGTGATAAGGAGCGGGGTGCAGCAGGAGAGGGGGCAGCAGGTGGTGTTAAGGCTGAGCAAGGCCCTGGTGCACAAGGGTCTGCGGAAGGAGAGAGTACGAAGGAAGGAACAGCCGAGGATGGGAAGGGGGAGGGGAAGAAAGACGATGGGAGTGCAGCGGGTGGCAAGAAGGAAGGAGAGGGAGTGGAGGGTGAGAAGGGGGAAAGTGACTCAGCAGGGGTGGTGGAGGAGAGCAAGGAAGTGAAGGGAGGAAAGGTGGCAGAGGTGGACTGTACGCCGCTCCAGGAGGAGGGTGAGAAGAAAAAGGTAGGAGAGGAGGCTGAGAAGCAGCATGGGGTTGGGCCAGATGGTAAGGCGGATTCAGAGAAGCAGGTAGTTGATAAAGGGACCGGTGGTGGTGGGGTTGAGTCAGGTGGTGGTGGGGGAGAGGCAGATGGTGGGAAGCAGAAGGAGGCTGCGGGAGAAGAAAAGAGCACGGTGGGTAAGGGTGGAGAGAAAGAGGGGATGGCGGAGGGGAAGGAGGAGGTGAAGGAGGAGGCGGGCATAAAGGGAGAAGGGAAAGCAAGTTCTGCAGGTGCATCAGGAGACGGCGGAGGGAAGGAGAAGGCTGCAGTAGAGGAGAATAAGAAAGGCACGGAGGAGGGGAAGTTAGTGGTTGGGGTGAAGGAGGAAGAGAAGGGCCAGCAGTTACAGACAGCAGCGGTTCAATGCAAGCCAGAAGAGACAGGTACGGTGGCAGGAGAAACGGTGGCAGGAGAAGTGAAGGGAGGAAAGGAACAAGAGGCGGGGGCAGGTGGGGTTGCAGGAGAGAAGGAAACTGGTGACAAGATGGAGGTGGATTCAACAGGTGTCGGGGCAAAGCTAGATCCAGCAGAAGGGAAGGCGGGTGGAGAGGGAGAAGGGCAAGATGTGAAGATGGAAGATGTAGGAGAGGGGAGTAAGGAGGTGAAAGCTGAGCAGGCGGTTGGGATGCAGCAATCACCTGTCAAACCTGTGCAAGGCCAGCAGCAGCAGGCACAACCTGTGCAGCCACCATCGGCAACACCTGTGGCACCAACACCGTCACCACCATTGGTACCAACCCCAGCAGCATCCGCAGTGCAGCCAGTGCAAACAGTGCAGAAAGCACAGCCAGCATCAGAGGGGCCTAAACAGCCACCGTCACAGCAGCAGGTGGTGGCACAGCAAGGTACGGTGGTGCAGCAAGGTGGAGGCGCAGCAGGGACCCAGGGTGCAGTGCAGCAAGCGGCAGGGACATCAGCTGCTCCTTCGCAACAGCCCACACCAGCTACAGCACAGCCACGGCCACCACCAGCACTGCAGCAGGCGCAAGCAGGGGCATCACTAGGTGCAGCAGGGGAGAAGAAGGTGTTTACCACACAGCCGGCAGGGCCGCATGCTGGAGGTGCAGTGAAAGCAGAAGCAGTGCAGACCAGCCCTGGGACAGTGGGCCCGCAAAACACAGCAGTAGGTCAAGCACAGGCGCAGGGACGGGTGCAGGCACAGGCACAGGGACAGGGACAGGGACAGGGACAGGGACAGGCACAGGCGCAGGTGCAGGCGCAGACGCAGGCATCTCCACAGGGCGATAAAGTGAACCAAGGCGTGAGTGGGCAGATACAGCAGGGCCAAGGCCAAGCAGTTCAGGGCCCTGCTTCTGGCCAAAGCCCTGCTCGCCCTACTCAAGGCACTGCACAAGGTGATTCGCGGGTGACAGTGCCTGGGGCGCAAGGGGTGCAAGGAGTGCAAGGAGTGCAAGGGGCACAGCAACGAGCAGCTGTGCAGGTGCAGGCAGCACAGCAGCAGCAAGCTGGCCGGCCTCCCCAAGGCCAATCGATGCCTGCTCAGCAGCAGCAGCAGCAGAGGCAGCAGCCACAGGCACAACCGCTGCAGGCTCAGCAGCAGCAGCAGCCGCAGCAAACGCAGCAGCAGCAGCAGGCCCAGCAGCAGCAGCAGCCACAGCAGCAGCAGCAAGCGCAGCAAAGTCAGCAGACGCAGCAGCAGCAGCAGTCCTCCCTACGAGTCCTAGACCCCATCATCTTCATAGACGCCCTGGTCTCCGTGCTCATATCAGAGAACAGAGCGCATGCCCGCGCTGCCGTCTCCGCACTCACCTCCTTCACAGACTCAGTCATTCTCATGGCACGCTGCCGCCAGGCTGGCACCGCCATCCCTGCCGTGCTCCCCACGCCGGGCACCCCGGGAATGGTTTCGTCCCCGTCGATGAGTGTGGTGGCGCCTGCGCCTCCGGGTTTGAGTGTGCCTGTGCTGGAGGAGCTGCTGTCGCGCCTGCTGCACTGCTGCTATGGGCTCGCGTGGCATGAGCAGATTGGCGGGGTGATGGGGCTGGGTGCGCTCGTTAGCAAGGTCCCTGTTGACATGCTGAGTCTCTTTCAGGTGAGCTGTGAATGGTGGATGCGTGCGTACGTGCATGCGTGCTTGCCGGCCTGCCTGCCCGTCTGCCCGTCTGCATGCCTGCCTGCCTGAGCGTTGCACTCCTTGCGCCGCTCTTGGATCGGCGTGGTGCGTCTTGCGTTATTGACGAGAATGCAACTCAGCACATTGATGTCTTGTGTGTGTAATGTCCCCGCTTGGCCCAGTTACCTTACCCACTTGTGTGCCCCTCATCCTCACCCCTCCACCTCCTCCCTCCTCCCGCTCCCCTCCCTCTTCCCCTCCCCTCCCACTTCCCCCATCCAGTCTCGCATAGTCCGTGCACTTCTCTTCGTGCTTCGGAGGTTGCCGCAGCACTCAGTGAGGGAGCGAGAGGAGACAACCCACGTGCTTACCCAAGTACTACGAGTGGCCAACAGCATGGACGACACAGCATCAGAGGAGCGCACAGCGAGCTTCCGCTCCGTGGTGGAAGTGCTGGCAGTCGAGCTGTTCAACCCCAACTCGCCCCGCGTAGTGCGCAAGAACGTGCAGGCCAGCCTGGCACTGCTGGCGTCGCGCAGGGGCTCCGAGGTATCGGAGCTGCTGGAGCCCACGTACCAGCCGCTGCTCGCTCCTCTTCTCAGCCGTCCGCTGCGGTCGCGCCATGTGGAGCAGCAGGTATGTGCATGCGTGCATTATGTTGTGCATGCGAGCATGCGTGCAGTGTGTTTGTTTGTGCATGCAGTCTGCTCTGCTGCAACGCAAGAAGAGTGTCATGCTAACCTGCATGAATCTCTCTCGTCGTTCCACTCTTCTCCCTGTCGCCCTGTCATCCCAGGTGGGCACTATCAAGTGTGGCAACTTCTAGCTAGTGCCGCGCCCCCATCTCCTTATTTCTGTCGACGCTAACTCCTCTCCCCCCCTCCCCCCCTCCCCCTCATCCCAGGTGGGCACGGTCATGTGTGCCAACTTCTGCCTGGCCCTCCGCCCGCCTCTCCTGCGCCTGACCCCGGAGCTTCTCACACTTCTCCAGGACGCCCTCAGCGTAGCAGAAGCAGACGAGGCGGTTCTCCACGCCAAGTTCCTCACAGGGCGGCAGGCCGCCGTGCTCACGGGCCTGCGCTCCGCATGCATTGAGCTGCTCTGCACCGCCATGGCGTGGGACGAGTGCAAGGCGCCTGGGCACGCGGACATGCGCTCGCGCATCATTGCCATGTTCTTCAAGTCGCTCACGCTGCGCACGCCCGAGATTGTCAGTGCGGCCAAAGAGGGTTTGAGGCAGGTGATCATGCAGCAGCGCCTGCCCAAGGAGCTTCTGCAGTCCAGCCTGCGCCCCATCCTCGTGCACTTCGCCCACTACAAGTCCCTCAACCTGCCGCTGCTCCAGGTGTGATATGACCGCTTCCTTCAACCCCCCTTCCTTCCCCTCGACCTCAACTTCACCGTCTTCTCGTTGCTTCTCGGTTCGTTCACCCTGCGCCTCTAGGTCTCCCCTTCTGCCAGATTGACCTGTTCTCACGCTCCCTCCTTCCTTCCACCCGTGACTCGCACGCGCAGGGCCTGGCGCGGCTGCTGGAGCTGCTGCCCAACTGGTTCAACGTGACCCTGGGCGACAAGCTCAAGGACTACCTGGCCAAGATGCCGTCACCGATGTCTCATAAGCCCCCTACCGCCCCTTTCTCCCCTCCTGCCCCTTCCGTCCGTGACTCGCTCGCACAGGGCCTGGCGCGACTATTGGAGCTGCTGTCCAACTGGTTCAACGTGACCCTGGGCGACAAGCTCAAGGACTACCTGGCCAAGATGCTGGAGCCCGACAGAGGGCCCGCGCAGGGGCAGAGAGCGTGGCGACCAGGGGAAGAGCCCAAGATAGCTGCTGGTGAGCATGCACTGCCTCGCTATGCATTGCGCAGTCTAGCTCCTAATCCTTTCCCTTTCCCGGTTCCTCATGTCTCATGTTTCCTGTCCTTGCTATTCCCCTAAATACATCCCTCTCTGCGTACCGGTAACCCCCCTCTCCCACCCGCCCCCCCCCTCCTGTTTCCCCACTCCATCCATCACGCCGTTCCTCCATCCGCAGCAATCTTGGAGCTATTCCACCTGCTGCCATCGCAAGCAGTGAAGTTCCTCGACGACCTGGTGCACCTGTGCATGCAGCTCGAGACCGCGCTTTTTGAGTGAACTAAAAACTCACCCGTCCCCCCCTTTTCCCCATCCGCAGCGATCCTGGAGCTATTCCACCTGCTGCCATCGCAAGCCGTGAAGTTCCTCGACGACTTAGTCCACCTCTGCATGCAGCTGGAGGCCGCACTCCCGCCCACCTCCCTCCTCTCCGACCTCAACTCGCCCTACCTGCAACCACTCACCAAGTTCCTCAACCGCTACTCGCACGAGTCAGTGGACTACTTTCTAGCGCGGCTCAGCCAGCCGGCTCTCTTCCGCCGCTTCCTCGCCATTATACGGTCGGATACCGGCATGCCGCTGAGGGAGGAGCTAGCGCGCTCGCCCAATAAGATCATCGGTGCTGCGTTCCGGTCTGTAGCGCCGTCGCTGGGGCTCACAGACCTGCCTCAGCCCGCCCACCCGCTCACTCCCGCCCAAGGTGGGTGCACCATAGCAAGCTTTTGAGAATTTTCAAACACGCAGTCTCCAGTCATGTCCTTGGCCGTGCCAACCAACACCTGCGCTTCTTCCCTCCCTCCCCCTTCCCTTTCCCCCCTCCCACCTCCCCTACCCCCGTTTTCCTCCTTACCCACATCCCCTCTTTCCTCCCATCCCATGTACTGCTCTTGTTGTCCTCCCTGCTTGCACTTCCTTTCCTGCCACTGCCCTCTTCCATCCTTTTGAGTCGACTCAAAAGCCACCTGCTGCTGCGCACCCTCGACACCCCCTTGCTGCCCCATAACGAGGTGACTTTTGAGTCGACTCAAAAGTCTCCCTGCTTGCACTTACTTTCCTGCCACTGCCCTCTTCCATCCCTGACAACCAACCCACTCCTCCCTCCCTCATCTCTCTCCCCTCCGGCTCCCAACCCGCATCCCTCTGCGGCTGTCTTCTCTCCATTTTCCCACTTCCTCCCACGTGGTGACCGGTGCGTGCAGAGGTGGAGGTGCAGATGAACGGGATAGCGCTGGTGCGAGCGCTGGTGAAGCCTTCTGAGGCGCCTCAAAAGTCCCCTCCCCACCCGTATCCCTCTGTTGCTTTCTTCTCTCCGTTTTCCCTCTCCGGCCCACACGGCCGGTGCGTGCAGAGGTGGAGGTGCAGATGAACGGGATAGCGCTGGTGCGGGCGCTGGTGAAGCTGCTGCCGGACTGGCTAGGAGGGCAGCGGCAGATCTTCGAGGCGCTGCTGCATCTCTGGCACTCGCCCGCACGCAAGCAGCGGCTCATGCGCGAACAGGACCTGCCTCTGCACATGGTGGGTGGGCTTGCCCGCGTGCTTGCTGCTTGCTGCATAGTTAGTGGTGCATGGTGCGGGGGTTGTCATAGCGTGGTGGTAATAGATAGTTCTCACTGCTTGCTTGGTACAGAATGGTAGTATCATGGCTTTTTATCTCCGCAAATGCATGCATTCATCAGCTGGTGCATCATGTCTCGAAAACTTCAAGCTAAAGTCTGTTTGGTGTGTGTGTCTACGTGGCCTGGCCTTCTTTTTGCCGTCGAGTGTGCGTGCACGGGCGTGTGTGTGAGGGTTGGAAGGGGGAGGGGGAAGGGGGTGCTCTGGATTGCGGCCTGAGGGGTTGCGGGGCCGGGGAAATGGGTGCGAGTGAATGATCGTGTATGTGGGGGTGGGTATGCATGGGGGGCTCACGCATGTAATGTGGCGGCGTGTTTGGTGTGCTTAGCAGGTGAAGGAGAGCAAGTGGCTGGCCAAGTGTTTTCTCAACTACGTGAAGCACAACCGGGAGGAGGTGGATGTGCTGTTTGCGCTGCTCGCCATCTTCCGCCAGCGCACGCGCATCGACTACACCTTCCTCAAGCGCTTCTTCATGCTGCAGGTCCGTTCTGCAATGCTCCTATGAGGTGACTTTTTAGTCAACTCAAAAGTCACTTCCGCCAGCGCACGCGCATCGACTACACCTTCCTCAAGCGCTTCTTCATGCTGCAGGTAACGTGCCGTTGGTAACGAGGGGGCTTTTGACTTTCCACTCAAAAGTCGCCTCGCCCGCCAGCGCACGCGCATCGAAACACCTTCCTCAAGCGCTTCTTCATGCTGCAGGTCCGCAATGCTCCTATCCTATGAGGTGACTTTTGAGTCAACGTGCCATTGTAATGAACGAGGTGACTGTTGAGTCAACTCAAAAGTTCACTTCCGTCAGCGCACACACATTGACTACGCCGCCTTCCTCAAGCGCTTCTTCATGCTCCAGGCAGGTTTCACTCCTGCGCTGCCTGCTCTTGTGATGTTCCAAGCCGTTTCAGAAACCTCCTGTGGTAGCTACTCTCATGTCTGCTCCTAGGATCGTTGCTGTGGTGGCTTTTTTTGAGGCGCCTCAAAACGATTTTTGAGACGATTTTTTAGGCACCGTGGCTCAAAAATACCCACATGTCTGCTCCAAGGATTGTCGCCGTGGCGGCGTGTATCCCACACCTGATGCTCACTCCACTCCACTCCTCAATTTTTCAAACCTGGGAACCCCACCCCACCCCCCCATTTCTCCCCCTTCACTCCCTCCCCCATCTGCCACCCTTCTGGCCCCCCCGGTCAACCACTCTCAGCTCCCAGAGACGTACACGCCACAGCAACGCAAGCTGGTGCTGCTGCGCTTCCTCGTGCTGTACCAGGGCGGAATCCTCACCAACCCCGCCCAGCCGCCAGCAGCAGGCCAGGCAGGCGGGCAGGCAGCAGCGGCAGCAGCAGGAGCAGGGGCAGCAGGAGGGGCGGTGAGCCAGGTGATGCCGGCAGCGCACCAGGAGGCGATGGTGACGGCGCTACAGCTGCTCATCATGCCCATGCTCTCGCACTCTCTCAGCCATGGGCATGGCCCTGAGCTGCTCGATGCTACTGTCATCCGCACCATTGTCGACCGCTTGCTCGACCCGCCTGAAGAGGTGAGGGCCGCGGTGGGGTCATACAGGGTTGAATGCAGGGGATGGAGGAGGGGTGGGGGGAGGTAGGTAGGATGAAAATGTGTAGCTGTTCGATGCTACTGTTAAACCACTACCCCCACAATGTTACATACTTGAGTCCCCTGCTTCCCTCTTTCCTCCACTGCGCCCACTCCCTCCCTGTTGGAACTTCTGCGTCACCTGCTACCATCCCTCTTACTCCTGCTGCCCTCTTCTTCTCATCCCTGTTGCTGTCTTGTTCCTGTTCCCCTGTTCCCTTCTGCGTTCTCAGCCACTACCTGCCCCCTCCTGTGCTTGTGCTCGAGCTGCTTGGGCACGAGTCACAGGAATTCCAGCTGCCCAATGTCCAATGCCCCTTGAGATCTTCCTCCTTGCTCCTCGCAGCGCCCTTTTGCCAACACCCTCGCGTCACTCACTACCTAAGAACTCAACCCCGACCCAACTTCTACAGTAATTATAATGATTCACCTACACCCCACAAGCGAGTAACTGAATACATTGCTAACACCAATAAATTCGGTGACATCCCTCCCTGCTCCCCATTCCAGCTGAGCGCGCAGTACGACGAGCCGCTGCGAATCGAGCTGCTGCAGCTGGCAACGCTACTCATCCGCCACACGCCCAACGAGCTGAAGCTGCACCGGCGCGAGCTCATCAAGTTCGGGTGGAACCACCTCAAGCGCGAGGACAGCAGCAGCAAGCAGTGGGCGTTTGTGAACGTCTGCCACTTCCTCGACGCGTACCAGGCGCCCGAGAAAATCATCCTGCAGGTGTTTGTCGCGCTGCTGCGCGCGTGCCAGCCGGAAACCCGGCTGCTGGTGAAGCAGTCTCTCGACGTGCTCATGCCGGCTCTCCCCAACCGGCTGCCCCAGGGCGACCAGAAGATGCCGCTGTGGATTCGTTACACCAAGAAAATCCTGGTAGAGGAAGGATACTCAATCGCGCACCTGGTGCATATTTTCCAGCTCATCGTGCGCCATGCGGACCTCTTCTACCCCTCGCGCGCCCAGTTCCTGCCCCAGATGGTGCACTCGCTGCAGCGCCTCGCGCTGCCTCTGAACAGCTCGCTGGAGAATCGGCGGCTGGCGGTGGACCTTGCAGGGCTTGTGGTGAATTGGGAGAAGAAGCGTCGCGACAACGAAGCTGCTGCTGCTGCAGCAGCAGCTGGTAGGGCAGCGGGTGCTGGTGTAGGGGGGGGAGCGGAGGGTGGCGAGGGCGGTCAAGGGGGAGCAGGAGGCAAGAGGGTGCTAGGGGGGAGTGAAGAGAAGGAGGAAGGAGGTGGTGGTGCTAAGCGGATGAAGGTGGAGGAGGGGCATGTGCTGGGGCCAGGTGCCGCACCTGGCTCTACACCCGGTGGAAACGCAGCAGCAGGAGCATCAGGAGCAGCTGCAGGAGGAGGAGCAGGAGCAGGGGCGGCGGGGAGTGCAGCAGCAGGGGACGACGATTTCCGGCCGCACACAGGCATGGAGGATATGGTTCTCAACTTCCTCATCCGCTTTGCATTCGTATCAGAACCCAAGGACAAGGACACCACAGCGCTGCACCAGCAGGCGCTGCAGCTGCTGGAGGAGGCTCTGGAGCTGTGGCCCTGGGCGACCATTCGCGTGAACTACATAGAGCGGCTGTTAGTGCTGCACCAGCAGCAGACAGCAGCCCAGCAGAAGGCCCAGCAGTCTGCCGCAGGAGATGTGTGTGCCTCCTCTCCTCCTCATGCCTCGCTTTTTTAAAAAACGTCTCGTTTTTGTTAGGCGTTGAAAAAGTTGCCTCCTCCCGATCCCTCGTCCCTGCTTGTTTCTTTTCATGCCTCGTCCCTGCTTGTTTCTTTTCATGCCTCGTCCCTGCTTGTTTCTCTCCATGCCTCATGCAAGACAAGCCCTTTTCCTCCCAGCCATTTTCCCTGCCCATGCGGTGTCACGCGTCTCATCTCCCCTTGCCTTTGTTCCCGATTTGTTGCCTCAGGGAGGGGACGCCAGTCAGCAGGGGCAGGCAGGCACAAGCAAGGCAGCACAGGGTGCGGGGGCGGCAACCAAGGACCTGTCCCTGGCGCTGCTGACAGGCATGGGGGTCATTGAGACATGCCTGCGCAAGAGCCCGCTTTCCTTCCTCCGCCACAACTCCGTGCATGTGCTTCAGGTGAGGAATTTCTGCCTCATCTCTGCATGCTCTCTACTGTCTCTGCCAGCTCTCTGGGAAAATCCACTAGCTTTTTGCCAAAATTCACTAGCTCTTTGTTAATCACCTGTTTGGGCCCCCGTTAACGCTCTCCCTGCTTGCGTCGTCTGGATTCACAACATTTCTCCTCACTGCTGCCATCCGGTACCTCCTTGTCTTTCCCATGACCCGTCCCACTCCATGCATGCTCGCCTCTGCTCTGCTCTCCCGCGTGCTCTGCTCTCCCCAGATCATAGAGCCGTGCATGAGGAGTCGCTCCAAGGAGGTCATTGCCTGCCTGTGCCGCATTCTCCGCACGCTCTTTTCCACCGCCGCCTCCCTCGCCCCTCCATCCGCCACACGTGCTGCTGCCGGCACCGCAGCCACAGGCCCTGGCGCTTCCGCTTCCCCTGCTGCTCCCTCTCCTGCTGCTCCTGCTCCAGCTACTGCTGCTGGAGCCGCAGCAGTGGCAGGAGGGGAGGGGGCTAAGGGGCGAGAGGACGACCCAGCGACAAGGGAGGTATATCTAGAGCAGGTAGCAGCTGTGGCGCAGAGGGTGGAGGAAGTGACACAGAAGCTTCTCGTGTCCATTGTCTCCCCTCAGGCCTCTGGCTCTGGCTCCGCTGCTGCAGCACCTGGGCAAACTCCTGGTGCTGCTGGCCCAGGTGGCTCTGCTGCCGGGGCAGCAGGATCAGGTGCCATGCCTCCACCTCAACCGCAGCAGCAACAGCAGGGTAGAGCAGGCACACCCGGTCTCCCTCCCTTGGCCTCCCGTCCTGGTGCTGCTGGTGCTGCTGGCATAGCACATGCAGCAGGCGCATCCACTCCTCAGGGAGGTGCACCTGGTGCAGGTACACCTGCTGGAGTGGCAGGAGCAGCAGCCGGCATGGCCCGAAGTGCCACTCCCACTCTGCCTTCGGCTTCTTCTGCTCCGGCCGTTCTGTCCGCCGCCAATAATGCTGCTATAAGAGCGTCCCTGGCAGTGCTGCACACGCTGGCAGCAACAGAGCAGCAGCAGATAGTGGACCGGCTGCTGCCTATGCTCGTGCCCACGGCCCTCCACCTCTCTCGCAGCATTGCTGCTGCAGGCCCGGCTGCTGGCTTGGTGCGTACCAGCCAAATGCTTTGCCGCTCGTCACATGCCTGTCTTGCTCGCTTGCTTGCTTGGGCATCTGCTTTTCTTTCTTTCCACACTTTTTTTGGGTAATTCGGTACCCTGTAATCCACTACGCGTTCCATTCCACCCATCCCAACCTTATCACACGCCTACCATCCCCACTCATTATTTGTCAAAATCCCCACCGTTCCATCCTTGCAGACAGGAGATGCACAGGCAGATGAAGCAGCAGGGGGCGGGCGAGGCAAGCCGCCATCCCCAGGCGTGGCAGCATTGGCAGGGGCAGGATCCGGCAGCTTCAGTGCAGCCGCAGCAGCCGCAACAGCAGGAAGCGCTGCTGCAGGCAGTGCTGGCGGTGCTGGGGGAGGGGCAGGCGGGGCGGGTGGGGCGGGTGGGGAGGAGGAGGGGCCGGGGTTGATAGCGGCGGGGGTGGATAATCTGTGTGACGCACTTGAGCTGCTGGGACGGCGTGTGCTGTATGTGACGGATTGCCGGCGCCAGTTTGGGCTGCTGCTGCAGAGCCTGCTCACGGACCGAGCCACGGACCCGGCGGTGCTGCTGTCCATTCTGGAGATTGTGTGCAGATGGGTGGACACAGAGTTCAGGTGTGTGCTGCTGCTGCTCCTGGTCATGTCGAAAGGTCTTTTTTTCCTTTTTCCTTTTTTTTTTTTTTTTTTTTTTTTTTTGCGCCTTGGAATTCGTCTCTGTTCTCTCCATCCCGGAGATGGAGAGCCGATGGGTGGATAATGAGTTCAGGTGCGCCCTGCTGCTGCTCCTCAGTATGCTCTCTCCCTCTCATGACTCCCTCCCTCCCCTTTCCTCCCCATCCCCTTCCCCCCGTTTCTCCCTTCCTTTCCCCCGCTTCTCCCCTTCCTGTCCCCCCTCCCCCTTCCCCCACAGGGTGGCGGTGGTTCGGGGAGCGCAGCAGCAGGCGGAGCTGGTATACACGGGCATGCTGAACGCGCGGGACGTGGTCAACTTCCTGTACAAGCTCGCCCTCGTCACCAAGGAGCGCCGCCTCTGCCACCTCCACTTCGCCCCCTCGCGCTCCTCCCGCGCCTCCTCCGCTGCTGCGCTTGCTGCCTCCACTGATTCGCCTGCCCTGCCAGCTGGGGTGAGTGCGCAATTGGGGTGATGGGGGTGGGGAGGAGGGTGCGTAAGGAGGGAGAAGTAGGGTTTGGTGGGAGGGGAGTGGGGCGTGGGAGGGATTGGGGTTAACAGAGAGTGAGGAAGCAGGGAGCGAGGTCTGACAGGGGCGAAGTACCGGACGCGATGATGCATGGGTGGCAACGTGTCATCACCTCTCAGCACTGCTCATAACCTCTCAGCTCTTCTTGTCGACTCTCATATCTGCACTCACCACCCGCCATACCTCCTCGCCCGATTTGTCTTCCTCTCTTCCCCAGGCCCAACCCAGTGCAGACTCCTCATCATCAGGGTCAGCAAGTGAGCCAGCGCGGGACTGGGAGGGAAAGTTCCTGGGCCTGCTCTACTCCCTCTGCTCCGACTCCTCCAGGTGACCTCCTTCCCAGCTCCCCTTGCTGCCTTGCTATCTATTTTTGAGTCGACTCAAAAAGAGACTCACTACAGCAAGTGAGCCAGCGAGGGACTGAAGGGCAAGTTTTTGGGACTGGGCTTGCTCTATTCCCTCTGCTCCGACTGTTCCAGGTCACACCTCCCTCCCTCCCCCTTCCCTGCATCTCCGCTCACGTCTTTCCTCTCAGCTCCCATCCCCTCCTAATCTTGTTCTCTCAGCACCTCAGAATCACGCACTCGTACGTTCATTGTGTCTCCTCTGACCGCATTCCTGCAGCTGCCCTCCTGTCAGCAAAAAATGTCACATCTTACCTTGCCATTTCTCCCCCCACCTGCATGCAACCCCCTCCCCCCCGTTCCTCATCACCAGGTACCCCACGCCAATCCGCCAGGAGGTCTTCCAAAAGGTAGAGCGCGTCTTCATGCTGGGCCTGCGCTCGCGCTCCCCCACCCTCCGCGCCAAGTTCTTTTCCCTCTACAACGACGCCATAGGGCGGCAGCTGTGCACGCGCCTGCAGTTCATCATCCACGGGCAGAGCTGGGAGGCCCTCGCAGACTCCTTCTGGGTCAAGCACGCGCTCGACCTGCTGCTAGCTATTCTTATCGACCGGGACAGCGTCACGCTTGCTCCCAACTCCGCGCAGCTGCCCCCGCTCATGCCTGCTGGGGGCGTGCCTCTGCACGCTGCCGCTGCTGCTGGGAGCTCCGGGGGAGTGTCGAGCGGAGGAGGAGGGGGAGGAGGGGGAGGTGGAGGGGGAGGGGGAGGGGGAGGGGGAGGGAGTGGGAGCGGAAGCGCGGGCGTGGAGGGAGCAGGTTCCGAGGAAGCGGAAGGCGGGCGGTTGTCGTTCAACTCGCTTGTAGCAAAGCACACCAAGTTCATAAACGACTCTCTCCGCCTGCAAGTCTCCGACCTGCTACGCCCCCTCCAGGAGATGTCTGTAGAAGAGCCCATGGTTGCGTACCATCTGTGGGTGCTGGTGTTTCCGATTGTGTGGGCGTCGCTGCACAAGGACGAGCAGGTGCAGCTGGCCAAGCCCATGATTGCGCTGCTGTCCCGCGAGTACCATTTTCACCAGCTGCACCGCCGCCCCAACGTCGTGCAGGCGCTGCTCGAAGGCATCAGGTGGGCGCGGGTACAGGTGGTGCTGCTCTGGATGTCTGGTTTTGGTGGTTCGTTGCACTGGATCATGTGGTGTGGGTGGGTGGGGGTTAAGGATATGTGTTTCTGCAGTGGGTTGAGAGCTTTGGACTCTAGTGTTGACAAGTCCAGTCAGGTTAGCTGTCCACCATTCGGCCATGGTCCACTGGCGGTCTCATATCCCCACTGGTATCCTCTGCCCCGTGCCCCGTGCCTGTGCCCCATGCCCTGTGCCCCATGCCCTGTGCCCCATGCCCTGTGCCCCATGCCCTGTGCCCCATGCCCTGTGCCCCATGCCCTGTGCCCCATGCCCTGTGCCCCATGCCCTGTGCCCCATGCCCTGTGCCCCATGCCCTGTGCCCCATGCCCTGTGCCCCATGCCCTGTGCCCCATGCCCTGTGCCCCATGCCCTGTGCCCCATGCCCTGTGCCCCATGCCCTGGTGAGCAGTTTGAGTCAGCCGCAGCCCAAGATCCCATCGGAGGTGATAAAGTACCTGGGGCGCACGTTCAACGCGTGGCACGTGGCCATCCCGCTGCTCGAGAGCCATGTCTCCATGTTCCCACAGGACGCCCGCTGCTTCGATGCCCTTGCTGAGCTCTACAGGTGCATGCGGTCGTGTATGTGCATGCATCTCATGTACATGTGGGTAACACGAGTGAAACATGAGGGGATGCAATGCAAGGGGTGATGTGCCATGGAAATGTCCAGGAATTTACATCGGGGCAAAGTGCGATGTCTCACCACTTCTACCTCCACTCATCCCACACCGCATGTCGCGCCATATTCTACAGGCTGCTGAACGACGCGGACATGGTGCACGGGCCGTGGCGCAGCTGCGAAGCGGTACGAGTTCTTGAGGCACCTCAAAAACACACTTTCACTTACATCTTCCGCTCATCCCGCACCCCACACACCTGCCCGCAGGTTGCTGAACGACGCGGACATGGTGCACGGGCTGTGGCGCAGCCGCAAGGCAGCACAAGAAACCCACGTGGCGCTGGCCCTCCAGCAGCACGGCTTCTGGCGCGAGGCGCAGGAGGTGCTCTCCCGCGCCATGGCCCGCTGGCAGCACAGCGGCTTCACCAACCACGAAGTCGGCAAGGCCGAGGAGTCCCTCTGGGAGGAGCAGTGGCTTGCGTCCGCCCGGCAACTGTGCCAGTGGGATGTATTATCGGAGTTTGGGAGAGAGGTGGATAACTACCAGGTGTTGCTGGATGTGGAGTGGCGGCGGGGTAACTGGGCGTTGCTGCGGGATACGGTGCTGCCCAAGGCACAGGTGGAGGAGAGCCCACGGGTGGCGATTGTGCGCGCGTACTGCAAGCTGCAGGAGGGCACGCTGGAGAGCATCCAGGAGGCGGACCAGCTCATCTCGCTGGTAGGCTGACTGTGGAGATGGCAGAGGGTTTCTGGGGGCTCAAGGGGCTTGGGGGTTTGGCCGGGTGGGGTTGATTGCAGGGAGGGAGGAGACAATTCATGGTGGTGTGCTGTTCTCAGATGCACATCCAGAATTGTGTCTCCTCTTCTTTGTCTCAATCATTGTTCAAGGACAACAAGCCAACCCCCGCCCACCTCCCATCCCTCGTTTCTCCTATCCCTAATCCCTTGTACTCGCTTCTGCGAAACGGTTTTTGCCACATGCAGGGGGTGTCACTGGCGCTTAGCAGGTGGTGGCAGCTACCGGTGGTGGGCGTGCAGCCGCACCTGCCACTACTGCAACAGTTCCAGCGCCTGGTGGAGCTGCAGGAGTCAGCACGCGTGCGCCTGGACATAGCAGCGGGCGCCAAGCACCACAAGCTCATGGCTATGCACGGTGCCGGCTCACGCGACGCCGCCGCTGCAGCAGGCACTGCAGGAGCAGCAGGAGGAGGAGCGGGGGGAGCAGGCGGGAGCGGCCCTGGGGGTGGGGCAGGAGGGGCGGGGGCGTCGGCGCCGTATGCGTTCACACAGCTCAAAGATGTGTTGGATACGTGGCGAATTAGAGTGCCCAACGAGTGGGAGGAGGTGGCTGTGTGGAGCGACGTGCTGCAGTGGCGCAACCACGTCTACTCCTTCATCATCTCCTCTCTTGACGTACTGCGATTGACCTGACCACCAACCGCTGCTTCCGTTTCCTCTCCCGTTCTCCTCCTCCTTTCCTTCTGTGTGTCTTGTTGCACCTCTCCTATCCTCCTTTCTTTTCTCCTCTCCTCATGCATCTCTTGCCTCACACCATCCCCACCCCCCCTTGACCCGCACCTTCAAACTGCCTCATGCCTCATCACCTCACACCAAACCCTCCGTCCGTCCTGCCTCTCCCCCCCCACCCCACTCCTCTCCCACCCACTCCCACCAACAGTCCCTGCCGGAAACCAGTCCCGACCTGCGCTCCCTTGGCTTCCGCGACAAGGCATGGAGCGTGAACCGTCTCGCCTCCGTTGCCCGCCACCACGGGCTAGGAAGCACATGTGTGCGCCTACTCAACTCCCTCTACGGCTACATGACCATGGAAGTCCAAGAGGCCTTCACCAAGATCCGCGAGCAAGTTAAAGCCTACATGGAGATGCGGGAAGGCGGGGGGAAGCTCCTCACGGGGCTGAACCTGATCAACGTGACGCGGCTGGATTACTTCCCGCATCCGCTGCAGGCCGAGATATTCCGGCTCAAGGGCGAGTTTCTGCGGCGCATGGGCGATGGGGACGGCGCACACGTGGCCTTCTCCACGTCGGTATCTTTGTGCAAGAGCTCGCCGAGAGGGTGGCTCAGCTGGGCGTGCTACTGCGACCAGGTGTGGCAGAGTACGGGCGTGGCGGTCTGGCTAGAGTACGCAGTCACCTGCTACTTCCAGAGCATCACGTACGGCTCGCCGCGCGGTCGCACGTTCCTGTCGCGCGTGCTGTACCTGTTATCCTTTGAGGATGGAGAGGGCACGGTGGCACGTGCCTTTGATAAGCACGCTGATAATGTGCCCAACTGGGTGTGGCTCGCCTGGCTGCCGCAGCTGCTGCTGTCGCTGCAGCGCCCCGAGATGCCCCATGCCAAGGCCATTCTCCTGCGCCTTGCTGCGTCCTACCCCCAGGTATGCTGCCGTGCCATTTACCGTACGCACACTGCACATCCGTCCACTGGCTCTCAACGAGTCTGCTGTGCTCTCCTTACATGTTGCCACACAAGTGAGCTGATGCGTGTTTGCTTATTTATAACCTCTCTGGAGCTACAAGCCAACCTATTTGACCCCCCCTGGCCCTCTGAAACAATTGCTTGCGTCCGCCCACTCTCCCGTGCACACCAGGCACTCTACTACTGGCTGCGCACGCACGTCCTCGAGCGCAGAGATCTCCTTGTGAGGTGCCTCAAAAGTGGTTCCTTCTTTTTCCATCCCCACACCCGTTTTCATGCACACCAGGCACTCTACTACTGGCTGCGCACACACGTCCTTGAGCGCAGAGACGTGGCACAGAGAGCAGCAGCTCGCCCCCACGCTGCAGCAGCAGCAGCTGCGGCAGCGGCTGCAGCGGCAGCAGCAGCAGGGGCAGGAGGGCAGGGTGCAGGAGCTGGTACAGGCGGTGGTGCTGCTGGCACTGGAGCGAGTAACGTGGGATCAGCAGGGGGGGCGGCTGCAGCAGCAGGCAGCACCGGCGGTGGGGCTGTGCTGGGAGCAGCAGGCCCTGCAGGGCCGCACACGGGTGTAGGCGCTGCTGGAGGGGTAGTTGGGGGAGGTGCAACTGGGGGAGGGCAGGGAGGGGGAGCAGGAGGAGGAGGAGCGGGAGCAGGAGGGCCAGTGGGTGCAGCAGCAAGGGCTGTGCCGGCCATGTCAGAGTCGCGAACAGCCGTGTCTGCTGCATCGAATGATGCTGGCCCGCCCTACAACCCTGGGGGCGGGGCCAGGCCGGCATCAGCAGCTGCCCCTGGCCAAGCAGCAGCAGCAGCGGCGGCGACGGCGGCGCCGCCAACGGCACTGGCAGCAGGTGGGCCGGTGGTGGGCGTTGCCCGGCGCTCAGCCGCTGCAGGTGCACCTGGGGGAGGCGCATCTGGCGCTGCTGCTGGCACCGCCGCCGCTGCGGCGGCCGCCGCCGCTGCTGCTGGTACCGGAAGTAACAGTGCTGGCACAAGCAGCTGGCAGGCAGCAGCGGTGATGGCATTCGAAGCAGCAATGGAAGTGATGGAGGCGCTGCGCACCAAGTATGGCAGCCTGGCGTCAGAGCTAGAGGTGATGCTCACAGAGATCGGCGTACGCTTTGTGCCTCTCCCAGAGGAGCGCCTACTCGCTGTCGTGCACGCGCTGCTGCACCGCTGCTACCGCTACCCCACCGCCACCACCGCCGAGGTGCCTCTGTCACTCAAAAAAGAGCTGTCTGGCGTCTGCCGCGCGTGCTTCTCTTCTGATACAGTCACCAAGCACACCGAGTTTGTGAACGAGTACAAGCGCGAGTTCGAACGGTCTCTCGACCCGGAATCCACCGATACCTTCCCCAAGTCCCTCGCCGACCTCACAGCGTCGCTCAAGCACTGGGAGGGGGTGTTGCAGCGTAACATCGAAGAGCGGTTACCAGCGGTGCTGAAGCTAGAGGAGGAGAGCCGGCAGCTGCGGGAGTGGAACGTGATGGACATAGAGGTGCCAGGACAGTACTTTAACGACCAGGATGTGCCGCCAGAGCATGCAGTCAAGCTCGATCGTATCGCTCCAGACGTGCCAATCATCCGCCGCCACGGCAGCAGCCACCGGCGGCTGTCTCTCGTGGGCAGCGACGGGTCTCAGAAACACTTTTTGGTCCAGACGTCCCTCACGCCGTCGGCACGCAGCGACGAGCGCACGGTGCAGCTGCTGCGGTCTATCAACCGGGCAGCGCTGCTGAAGCACCGGGACACGCGGCGGCGCAACCTGGCGTTCCACACGCCTATCATCGTGCCCGTGTGGCCTCAGGTTCGCCTGGTGGAGGACGACGTAACCTACTGTACCTTCGCGGAGGTCTACGCGATGAACTGCGCGCGCTACAACCGGGAAGCAGACCTCCCGATCGCGAAATTCAAGCACGATCTCAACGCCGCGATCATCAACCAGCTGTCAGGGGAGCGGCTGGTGGCTCTACGGCTGAGATCGTACCGCGAGATCACAGCCCATCTGGTATCTGAAAACATCATGTCCCAGTTTGTGTACAAGTCGCTGCCGTCGTCGTCGCACCTGTGGACGTTCAAGCGGCAGCTGGCGTCGCAGCTGGCGCTGTCGGGGTGCGTGTCGTTCCTGCTGCACATAGGAGGGCGCTCGCCCAGCAAGACCCTCTTTGCGAGGAACACCGGCAAGATCTTCCAGAACGACTTCCATCCAGGTCAGTTTGTGTTTTGAGTCGACTCATAACACAACTCGCCCAGCAAAGCCCTCTTTGCGAGGAACACCGGCAAGATTTTCCAGAACGACTTCCATCCAGGTCAGTCCAAGGACGGACCCACGGCTTGTTGTGCACCCGTGCTTTTTTAGCTGCATGCTGGTCACAGTCAGGGCAGGGCTCTGTTGGAAGTCAGAGTATTGTTGTGCTTTGCTACTGCGTTCGGTTGGTTGCTTTCCTGTATCTGTCCGCTTGCTCGTTGACTCACCTAACTCATGCTTCCGCTGCTTTCTTCCTCTGTCCCTTCCCCTGCACCGGTTTCTTCCCCTGTGACCAGCATACGACCATAACGGCATGGTGGAGTGTCAGGAGCCGGTGCCCTTCCGCCTCACGCGCAACCTGCACACCTTCTTCACGCCCTTTGGCACGCTCGGCATCTTCATGTCCACCCTCTGTGCTGCTGCCCACGCCATCCTCGCCCCCAAGGTACTGCCTGCGCCACGGTTTATGTAATGCCTCATCATGGGGCCGAGGTGACTTTTGAGTCGACTCAAAAGTCACCTCACGCCATCCTTGCCCCCAAGGTACTGCCTGCGCCACGGTTTTTGTAATGCCTCATCATGGGGCCATTAAGCTGCTCCTCAATGCTTAGCCCAGCTGCTCCTCATCATGGGGCCATTAAGCTGCTCCTCAATGCTTAGCCCAGCTGCTCCTCATCATGGGGCCATCACTTGCACCAGCTGCTTAGCCCAACAGCAGTGCCTGCTTACATACATACCTTTTGAGACGTTTTCAAAGTTCCTGCTATCTGTCAGTCCTTCAATCACCTCCTCCTTTCCCGGTGTTTTCTTCACCTGTTTCTCTCGCTCCTCCTCTCATCCCTCCCTTCTCCCTCACCCCCCTCTCCCCTTCTTCCCGCTCCCCCTCCCCCCCACCCCACAGCGGCATGACATGAGGCATCACTTTGCCATGTTCTTCCGGGACGAGCTCATCTCCTGGTCGTGGCGCAGACCCCCGTCCCTGGGCCCGCCGGGAGCAGCCAGCAGCAGTGGCAGCATAGCAACGGCGGATCTCAAGGCCAAGGTGGCGGCCAACGTGGAGAGCGTGTGGCGTCGCCTGCAGCGTGTCGCACCGCAGAGCTACGTGGGAGCCATTGCTGCTGCTGCCGCTGCTGCCAGCGAGATTCTGCAGGTGCGTGGGGTAAATGGGGGCTGCTTGCTGCATTTTTTTGGGGATTTTTTTAGTGGGGCACATGTTGTGTACTTTCTGTGGTTGGTTGGCCACTCTCTGTTTCAGAAGGTCGTGGTGATGCTGCTTTTATGTTTTCTCTGGTTCTTGCCTCCTAACCTATTTTGCCATTGCCAAATGTTCTCACCCCATTCTCTACCCTGCACCATCACCCCCACCCTCCCTTCCCTCTTCTTTGCAACACTACCCATCTCTGTTGTCCTGACTGATAATGCCATTGTGCAGAGCGATGTGCCAGAGTTACGGTCAGTGCAGCAGGGGGCCATGGAGCTGGTGGAAGCAGCACTTAAGCCAGAGAATCTGTGCATGATGGATCCCACGTGGCATCCCTGGTTCTGATTATCTCACCGCACAGTGGTATAGTTGGCGTTAACTAGTGAAATATCTAACCTAGGATCTATCTAACGTATCAGTACTAAAGCATTTTTGGTATAGGTGGGTGCACAACAACACCAAGCAGCTTGTCTGGCTTGGTATGTGTCACTTTTCAAGGTGCCACTAACTACACTTTCTTCGAGGTGTGTGTGAGGGACACTAGTCCATAACTAATGGTTTGCTGACAACATCAAAGAAGCACTTTCAGCAAACAAATATTTCTCATTGATCTATGTTTGATATTGTATATGACAGTTAGTATGTGCTTGTATGCGTTAACGACATTTTGGTTCGTGACCTTCGCCGAGACCAGTAACCCTTTCGCCGTAGCCTTCCTTGCCTCGGTTCTGACAATGTTTTTAGTCATCTGAACTTTCTTCCCCCTACCCAATCTTAACTCCCCAACCTGCATGTCACCTGTATTTCTTGTTTGCTTGGCTATCACCAACATACCATTTTACGAGTCCCACGATTCCAGTTGAATCGCGGCCGATGCTTGGGCGTCCGAGCTGACCAGCAGCGAGCGTGGCAAGATAATTATCTGCAAGAAGAAAACGCCGGCTCTCGACAAAAAGATTTGCTTTACAGGTGGAACCTACTTGCGAGTCGCAGCAACACTTCAGTAGCTGACAGCAAACCAGACGATAATTTGGCGAATGCCACAAACCGCTTCGCCTAATCACACCTTTCTTCGGTGTCGGAAAGTACGATGATGAGTCGTTTTACAGACCGTTGAATTCGCATTCAGGTGCCGCATCTCTCTCAACGCGTCATTCCCCGTCATCGTCTCAATTCGCATTCAAGTCTTGTCTCTCTTCCAGTCGCCGCCCGCGGACCCCTTACACTTCAGACGCGCTAAAGCAGCGGCAACCCGTTCCCTCATCCTCGTTCCATCACTTTCAGCAACAGCAGCAGCAGCAGCAGCAGCAGCAGCAGGAGGAGGAGCAGTAGCAGCAGCTGAGCGAGCTTAGGAGCGTGCATTACCCGGCACCATGATTGAGGGATTAACTACAGAGGAGACCCGCACGCTGACGCTTATCAATGTCGTCGCCTCCGCGTTCTCCTTCCTCGGCTCGGGATTCATCGTCCTCTGCTACCTGGGCTTTAAAGACCTCCGGAAATTCTCCTTCAAGCTCATCTTCTATCTCTCTTTCTCGGTGAGAAACGCATCGACTTGACAAACGGTAGGAGGGGTGAGTGAGAGCAGGAGGCAAAAGAGAGTATGTCACACACTGTCATCGTTGTCATCATCATTTTGCATCATTATCATTATAACCGCAACTCACTCCGATCGTACTCATTGTGGTTATACCACGCCTGTGTGCCATCCCACACCCTTGCTATCCCTCAGGACATGCTCTGCAGCCTCTTCAACCTGCTCGGGTAAGACACTTCAAATAAGATTCACAAACTCCCCTGGATTCCTCTCAATTCATCCTCCACTTGCCAACCACCCCTCAAATTTCACTCACTCCACCTTAACTTCTCTCAAATCCCTCACTTCAATCCCCCCACCCATCGCACCCTCCTCTCCCAAAACCCCCCCATCCAAACCACCCCCCGCTCCCTCCCACCGCGCAGCAACCCGGGCGAGGGCGCGCTGTGCTACATGCAGGGCTACGCGACGCAGTTCTTCTGGGTGGCGTCCTTTCTCTGGACCACCACCATAGCATACACGCTCCACCGCACCGTCGTGAGGCACAAGGCGGACGTGGAGGGCCTGGGGCCCTACTTCCATGTGTATGTGTGGGGCACTGCCGCGCTCATGACGCTCATTCCGTCCCTGGGCAGCGACTATGGCCCTGCAGGGGCCTGGTGCTGGGTTCAGAACGAGACGGTCATGGGAAAGGTGAGCCGGGAGGGGGGGTGTGGGGTGGTGTTGCTGGTGGGGGTGGTGAGGAAGAAGAGGAACGGGGTGAGGGGTTTGAGGAAGGGAGGACAGCGCGGGGGCAAGTCGCTTTGTTGAATTGGAGGATTGATGCTTTAGCTTCCCCTCCTGTTACGCTCTCCATTGCATCTGTACGTTCTCACCTCTTTCTCTTTGCGCCACCATTCTTTCCACTTCCACCCCTGCCTTCACATATTTTACGCCCCGCCCACCATCACCCATCTCTTATCCATGACCCACACCCCTCCACCACCTATCCGGTGGACGTCCCTGAAACCCTTTTTTCATCTACCTCCAACCCATCCCCAACCCGTCCGCCTCCCATCCCCCATGCACCATCCACCATTCTCCAATCATTCATATTGCATCACTGGCCTGGGTCCTGTTGTGCGAGCAGGTGCTGCGCTTCCTGACCTTCTACGTGCCTCTGTGGTCTGCCATTCTCTTCAATGGCGTCATTTACTTCCAAGTCATCCGCATGTTATCCAATGCCACACGGGTAATGGCACAAGAGTAACCCCAACACAAGCACACTTCCCGCCTCGTAGCCTTTTCCACCCCCAACAGCGTTCTGCCGACACGCATTCTCTCGTTCTTATTGCAGCAAGCATAGCAGTTAGCTGTTTGTGTGTACAATGACAGAGAAGGTGCGGTAAGGGGAGAGGCAAACAGGTCTTCCGTATCATTACTGTGCATGTGTGCTTGTATATTGATGGCAGATGGCAGCTAACATGGCAGACAGGCAGAAGATGGAAGGTCCAGCAAGCTCCAAAGTCTCAAGTGTAAGCTGTTGCAGTTTCTCCCTTCATCACCATCAGAGTGCATAGCTTTCACTGTTTCTCTGGTTCGCTGTTGTTTTGTTTTTTTTTTCAGCCTCTCGTCGCAGCTGCGGTTTTTTTTTATTATTATTACATCACCAGCACCAGTGAGCGCTCATTCTTTTATCCTTTTTGCCTGCATGTGCAATGTTTGGCAGGCCATGAATCGGTGGGGGTATTACCCTCTGATCCTCATCGGGTCGTGGACGTGCGGCACGATCAACAAAATCCACAACCTCTTGGAGCCCCACCGCCCTCTCTTCATCCTCTACTGCCTGCACATTGGCACTGCCGCTCTCATGGTCAGCTGCCCCCTCTATTTATAGTGTGCGCTCATTGTGCTTGTACGTCATCCGTATGCGCTTGTACGGTATGTGTATCCTTTTTTTTTCTCTTTTCTTAAGTCACGACTGTTATCCCCATGTGCCTGTCTTCCATGATCCTCACTGGTATCCCCCATCAGGGCCTCTTCAACTCCATAGCATATGGCTTCAATGCAGCTGTGCGGCGCACGCTGCGGGAGAAACTCATGCAGTAAGTTGCTCGCATCAACACATTGATCTCATGCGCATTTGCTGTGAACAAGATTTAGAAAACAATTTTCTCCCACTTTCTCCTTCTCTGCTGCTGTGCTGCTCCCATCTGTATTTTCTGTGTGCTTCTGTTTTTTAGAAACTGGCCTGAGCGGTTGCGGGTGTGGGGGCCAGCCTCACCCACCTTTCTGAGGCTGGAAAGTGATTCAGCAGAGGAAAGTGAGCTGGCGTGCTTGGGAGGCACAGACACGGAGAATGAAACAGAGCCAGAAACTGAACCTTCTTGACATGCACTTGTCAGCAGCCAAACTTTTGTTTCAAGAACATTGCATAGACCTCGCAATCTCGTCGAATTCATCATACGCGTTATTTTCATCGTAATAAAATCTCCATTCTGGCACTTTTCTCCGTATATTTTCCATCTACGGTAGATGTTATGAATTCTTCTGTTGGTTCTAATGTCTAAAGCGTTTGTCCCTTATATGTTATGCATACTTTCTTAGGTGCTGACGCTGTTCTGTACAGCGCGTTTCTACTTGGCACCGAGCCTCGCCAGAGCTCGTACCGGTTTCCCTCCAATACAGTATTTCAAAACTCCCTCTCTGACAGAACTCGTCATACCCGCAAACCAACCAATCCCAACTTCCCTCACCTCCCAAGCCGACCGAACCTCATCCCTTCTCCTTCATCCATGACGGAGTTCGCGGGAGTCAGCCGTTCTGCCGCCTTTTCAGTACGAGCATTGACTGGGTAGTCTTCGGCGAAGTGGACTGAAGCTTCTCTCACCTTCATTCTTCGCTTTCCTTTCTAGGTGCAGAATCTTTCAGTACTGCCATTTCTTATCTCCGCTCTGAGCTCCATGTCCCACTACAGGAGCTGCAGGTTGCACTAACCTAGTTCTCTCGCGTACCTGCACTAACCTCCAGTTTACTCACGTATCTTAGACTTGACTGTTTCCGGCAATGGATTACGGAGGATATATAAAGCTAATCCAAGACGAATGTAGTTAAGATGGTGTTAAGTCGTAGTTGATCGAGATGTCAAGTTAAGAAGAACTTGTATGTTAGCTACGAAGGATTTCTTGCCAAGTTAAGGCGAATACGACTTGACATTGCAAGTTCAGATGATTTTCGAGTTGAGACGATGACAAGCCGTCAAGCGACGTCACTCCATCAAGGGAACGCGGCCGCTGTTTCCACCGTCAGAGCAATGTTTCTGCTGTTTCCGCCATAAAAGCAACGTCGTCGCTGCTGTTCTCACCGTCAAATAAGTCGACTACTCCTGAAACGCCTCACAACTCAACTTCGCTGCCGCTTCCGCCGTCGAAGCGGAGCTGCTGTTTCGCCGTCAGAGCGACGGAGTTGCTGTTTCCGCAGTGAGAGCGACGGAGTTGCTGTTCCCGTTGTCAAAGTGACGGAGCTGCTGTTTCTGCCGTCAAGGCGACGGAGCTGCTGTTTCCCGCCGTCAGAGCGACGGAGTCGCTGTTTCCGCCGTTAGAACGACGGAGTCGCTGTTTCCGCCGTCAGAGCGACGGAGTTGCTATTTCCGCCGTCACAAGAGAGTTACAGACACAGCTTGACATGTAAGTGCGCTGGGAGAGCTTCTGGGGGGGCGAGTACGTCGTAAGGCGCCGCCAGCGCACAGTCTCAGTCTAATTTCTCTCGGATTAGTCCCCCTCCCCGTTCCCACCGCAACTAACATTCTACCACTCCTTGTCGCTGTTTCTGTTATGGCATGCTTGCGTGTGTCTTTGCGTGTCTGTATCATGTGCTTCCAAGCCTGTGCATGAGAGGCCGTGTGATGCAGATGTGCATTGATGCATGCAGTTTGGCATGGTTTGCACAGTCAGGGTACTTCAGGAGCGTCAGAGGCAGCGACGCAGAGGTGGTAACGGACGATGAGAGGAACGACTGTAGCAACCACGCGCCCTGGAGCACCGTCAGTGTGTTTCGGCAACCGGCAGCACCTAACCTGATGCACTATCAGCAGCAACAGCACTGGTACGTGGCTGGGGGTGCGTGCAGGGGGGCAGTGAAGTGAGTCGTAGGGCGTCCCCGCGCAGAGGCAACAGTCGTGTCTCTTGCCCTTGCCTCCACCACTCGCCTCCTGCTGCTTCTAACTTTCCTTGTTGTGTCGCTTTTGTGTGTGCGCCTCTCTCTCCCCATGCGTGTGTGTGCCGTATGACCTGCGAGACGGAGTTGCTGTTCCTGCCGCCATAGCGATGGAGCTGCTGTTTCCTCCGTCCAAGCAATGGAGCTGCCGTTCCCGCCATCACACGAGGGTTACAGGACTGGGCTTGACCCTGTAAGTGCGACGGGGAGAGCTTCTGGGGGTGCGAGTAGGTCGTAGAGCGCTGCCACCGCAGAGTCTCAGCCTGATTTCTCTTGCCTTCGTCCCCCTCCCCGTTTGTACCGCAGCTAACAGGCTACTACTTTCTTGTCTCTATTCCTGTTATGGCATGCTTGCGTGTGTCTGTTATGGCATGCTTGCGTGTGTCTGTTATGGCATGCTTGCGTGTGTCTGTTATGGCATGCTTGCGTGTGTCTGTTATGGCATGCTTGCGTGTGTCTGTTATGGCATGCTTGCGTGTGTCTGTATCATGTGCTTCCAAGCCTGTGCATGAGTGGACGTGTGATGCAGCTGTGCATTGGTGAGTGTGGTGTGGCATGATGTGGACCGTTTGTGGGTTTCAGGAGCGTCACTGGTAGCGACGCAGTGGGGGTAGCGAGGAGGGCAACGACTGCAGCAACCAAGCGAGGAGAACCGTCAGTGTGTTGCAGCAACCTGCAGCACCTAACCTGGAGCACCTAACCTGGAGCACCTAACCTGGAGCACCTAACCTGGAGCACTGTCAGCGGCAACAACAATGGTACGTGGCAGGGGTTGCGTGCAGGGGGGCAGTGAAGTGAGTCGTAGGGCGTCGCCGCGCAGAGGCAACGGTCGTCTCAGTTCCCCTTGCCTCCACCACTCGCCTCCTGCTGCTTCTAACCCTCCCTTCTTGCACCGCTTCTGTGTTTGTTTCTCTCTTCGCCTGCATGTGTGTGCCTCATGGCCTGCAACATGGTGGGGAATGGCTACGTGACTTTCTGACGGCCTGAAAAGTCTCATGGTTCGACGGTGGTGGCTGCTCCGCCTCGCAGCATGCTGTCGCGGACGCAAGGAGAGCGGACCGAGCGTGGCCTGGTGAGTGCTGTGGGGGGAGCTGCTGGGGGGAGAGCCGGTCGTAGAGCGCCGCCAGCGCGGAGTCGTCAGTCATTTGCTTGCTGCCTTGGTCCCTTGCTCGTCTTCGCCTGCAACTAACCTAGCTCTTGTGCTCCTCTTGTCTGTGGTTCTGTTATGGCATGCACGCGTGTGTTTGTGGGTGTCTGAATGCGGGTATTGGTGCATGCGGTGTGGCATGATGTGGACCGTCAGTGTGTTTCAGGAGCGTCACAGGCAGCAACACCGACGGGGCAGCGAGGAGGGCAACGACTGCAGCAACCGAGTAGCCTGGAGCACGGGCAGCAGCAGGGTGGTGGTGCTGCTTGGGAAAAGGCGTGGTGTCAGATTGGCAATGCAACGGACGAAGCGTGGTTCGTGCCAGGGGGTGCGTGCAGGGGGACAGTGAAGTGAGTCGTAGGGCGTCGCCGCGCAGAGGCAACAGTCGTGTCTCTTGCCCTTGCCTCCTCCACCACTCGCCTCCTGCTGCTTCTAACCCGCCCTTCTTTCGCCAACTCTGTGTGCGTGCATCTCTCCCCGTGCATGTGTGTGCTTCACGAACTGCGAGGCGGAGGGGAATAGCATGGAGCAAACGGAGCGTGACATGCACCAGGGCTTCCATCAGCAGAGTCTCGTGGTGCGACTGGCGCTGCTCTGCCTCGACAGATGTTAGCGCGCACACGAGGAGAGCGCACTGAGAGTGGCCTGGTGAGTGCCATGGGGGGGAGCCGGTCGTAGAGCGCTGCCAGCGCAGAGTTGTCAGTCAGTTGCTTGCTGCCTTGGTCCCTTGCTCGTCTTCGCCTGCAACTAACCTAGCTCTTGTGCTCCTCTTGTCTGTGGTTCTGCTCTGTTCGGCTTCCAAGCCTGTGCGTGATGCAGCTGGGCGTTGGTTCATATAGTGTGGCATGGTGTCGACCGTTATTGTGTTTCAGGAGCGTCAGAGGCAACTAGGCAACGAGGAGGGCAAAAACTTCAGCAATGAGGCAACCTGGAGCAGCGTATGCGTATTTCGGGGACGTCAGTAGCAGCAGCAGCAGCAGCAGCAGCAAACTGGGGCACGGGAAGCAGCAGGATGGTGCTGCTTGGGCCGAAGGCGAGGCGCAGGAGTGGCAGAGAGGCGGGCAGAGCGAGGTACGTGCCAGGAGATGCTTGCGGGGGCAGTGAAGTGAGTCGTAGGGCGTCGCCGCGCAGAGGCAACAGTCGTGTCTGCGATTCTCTAGTCCCACCGCTCGCCTCCTGCTGCTTCTGACCCTCCCTTATTTTGCCGCTTCTGTGTGTGTGCGTCTCTCCCCCTGCGTGTGTGTGCCTCACGGCCTGCAAGACGGAGGGCAATGGCAGGGATTTGACGGAGGGGTGACATGCGTGCAGGCCAACACACAACAGCAGCTTTGGTGAATGCAGCAGCGTTGGCGACTTGTAGCAGCAGTAGCAACAGCGCCTTGACGCCAGCAGCAGCAGCAGGAGGGCGGAGGCGAGGTGCAGGAGAGACAGGGCGCGGGGGGCGGAGCGTGCGGACAGAAGGAGGTACGTGCCAGGGGTTGCTTGCAGGGGGGGCGCTGAAGTGAGTCGTAGGGCGTCGCCGTACAGAGGCAACAGTTGTGTCTCTTGTCCTACGCTCCACCACTCGCCTCCTGCTGCTTCTAACCCACCTTCTTGCACCGCTTCTGTGTGTCTGTGCATCTCTCTGGTGCGTGTGTGTGCCACATGGTCTGCGAGACGGAGGGCAATGACAGGGAATGGACGGGGCCTGAAATGTGAATGTGGGGAGGGGGGAAGGGAGGTGGGGTGCGTGTGTGGGTGTGTGAGTGCATTGTGGGTGTGCCTCTCAGCCCCCCATCCCTGGTGTACAGCGGATTAATTTTTGAAGGCATGCCCATTGGTTGGCACAACAAGCTGCTTCCTCGTTTGATGCAAGAGGTAACCAGGAGGGACGATGCAGCAGCAGAGCAAATGCACCATTAACTTTTTATTTTCTCGCTGTCCCTTCTCCAGCTGCCATCTGCTATCTCTTCTGTCATGTCAGTGCTCTTTCACATCCTCACCCTCGCACCCCCTCGCTTCTCCTCTCCTTCCTCCCGCCTCTCTTCCTCGTTCTTCCGACCCTTCCTCCCCTCCCTTCTAGCACTCAAGGGGGCAGTGGCTGCAGCAATTGCAGGATCATAACAAGCATGAGAGTGAATGAGTGGACTACAACATGTATTGTCTTTCGTCTCCATTTGTCATTTTCATGGTTTCTGTTTTGCCAGTCCCTCTTAATCACTGTCTTTCCACGGTATCTATGTGTCTTTGCTGCTGTGTTGCCAGATGTTCATGCCACTCTGCTTACCTCCAAACCCCTCCTCTCCTGCCCTTTCCTCTACTCTGCTCTCTTCTCTTTCGTCACCCAAAGAGCAGCACCATTTACTCAGCATCAACAGCATGGGCAGCCATGGCGGCAGCAGCAGAATTGGCATACAGCAGTAGCAACAGCAGCAGCGGGGATGTGGTGGCTGCAGCAGCAATGGAGGAGTGAGTACAGGTTACTGTGCTGGTTGTTAAATGTCACTTCTGTTCTTGATCAGGCTCCCATGTCGTACCCATCTCATTTCACCCCTGTCCTTCACTACTTATTTTGTTGTTCTCTCCTCGTCATTTCACCCCTGTCCTTTGCGACCCATCTGGTTGTTCTCTCCTCATCCCCTCGCTCCCCCTCTCTTTGCTCAAGCCTCTCTTCCTTGTCCTTTCCATCCTTCCTCCCCTCCAGCACTCAAGGAGGCAGTGGCTGCAGCAACTCAGGGATCATCAGTGGCTGCAGCATTTGCAGGATCATGGTGAGCACTCAAAGATAGGTATTACACCATTCTCGTCTACCATCATTCCACAGTCCCCATGTGACGTTGCTGCTATGTTGCCAAATGTTCATGCCAATCTCAGCTCTCGTCCCCCTCCTCTCCTGCCCGCCACTCTTCTCGGCTCTCCTCTCTTCCGTCACCCGAATGGCACCCCTTTATTCAAATACTGCACCATGGGCAGCCGTGGAGCCAGCTGCCGTGGCATGGTGCCAGCAGCTGTGGCAGCAGCAGCAATGGTGGCAACAGCAGCAGTGGAGGAGTGAGCAGCAGTGAAGGGCAGTGGTAGTTGCAGTGGTAGCTGCACCAACCATGCAATAAGTGAGTACAGCTTACTTGCTTTCTGGCTCCTTCCCTGTGTGTGTGGTTGTTTTCCAGATGCATTAAGCTTTCGTGCTGTCTTCCCTCCCGTCCCTTCCATGCCCCGTTGCTGTCTTGATTGCAGCTCACAATGGTTCAAATGTGTGGTGATGTGCAGGGCAAGGCAGGGGACATGAGGGGCAGCATGGTGATGGACCACCACGAGTTCACTCCTACAAGGCCAAGGCAGCAACAGACCATCAGAGGCAACTTGGCACAGTCTTGTGATAAGAGCTTAAAATGGGCCTCTGGCTGGGGCCTGTCCTTGGCCGTGCTCTGGTTGGCTGTGCTTAGATGTGCTGTGCTAGGCTGTGTTGTGCTGTGCTGTGCTGGGTTGGCCTGGGCTGGGACGTGCATGCATGCTGTAGAGTAGGTGAGTGGGTGAGATGGGCTGGGCACAAGCACCCATGCAGGATGGAGTTTCCTCCTGCAGGTGCTGTGCCGTGCCATGATGATGACTTGCCTGATGCTGTGCCGTGGCACGGGCAAGGCTGGGATACTTCAGGCCAAGCTCTCGTTTGCAGCCATGACCGAGAGTGAGGTGGAGCTGGCGCGAGAGCACATGCAGCCCTGATGGGGTGAAAACGACAGTGCATGCACATGCACGCTGCATGTGTGCTGTGCATGCACAAAAACATCACAAGCGACGCATAGGTCCGAGACAGGCAAGGCAAGCCCCTCTCACTACAGTAGGAAAGACAGGGGCTGACAAGGTACGTATATGGGACACGTTCACACTCTGCAATACAGGACTGGTCAGTGGATACACACAAGCACCAAGCTGCAATACTCCTGCTATGACAGCAGAGGTTGCCCCAGATACGAAATGACAGCCATGCTACCACCAGGTACAGCAACAGCATGGAAGCTATCCAGACTTGTCTGATGCAGTATCCCCTCATGACTTGCACACAGAACTGACGGGGTAAGAGTGATAGTGGAAGGCATGTGCACACTGGTGACAAGCAGCTGCTGTCAAGACAGACAAAAACCCTCTAACGAGTGGGGAGTGCCTACATGCACAGGAAGTACTGATCTGCAGTGGTCATCGTACTTCAGCAGCACGACACCCCAAACCATAATGCCGCTACTACCATATCACAAAGACCAGGCTGGCTGGCTGGCGCGCAGACTGCTGGCGCGCTGGCTGGCTGGCGCGCTGGCTGGCTGGCGGGCGCGCTGGCTAAGGGCGGGGAGGGGAGGGGCGCGCCGGCTGGGGCGTGGGGTAGGGCGCTGGCGGGCTGGCAGGGTGCAGTGGTAACCCTAGTGGTAGGGAAGGGCGGGCCTAGGACTAGGAGCGCTAACCTACTGCTGATACCATGTCAAAATGAGAACTACAGCGGAATGCGTTGTGTTGACAGGATTGGGGTACATCACCTACCTAACCCTAACTAGTTGTACCCCATATAGCCCAACCCACTACAGGCTATAATATTTGACACGCTACTACTGTTGGGCTGAGATAGCCCCTTAGGATCTTTGCAAGGGATAACTCTAGGTGAAGTAGTTGTAACAGCGGAAGCGTTTAGTGAAGAATTTGAACCGACCTTGCACTGGTGTGTGAGAGCAAAGTTGATTGAATTAAACAAGCAAATACAAGGATTTATATAAGAGTACAGGGAATAGATAACTGTATTGCTGTTGCGGTTCGATATAGCGCGACTCGGGCAACTGCTCTGTAACGAGTCAGTTGTGTGTCCTTAACTGTCGCGCTGTAATTGTCGAGTCAAAGGTCAGCGACCTTTGACTTTCTCGTAACCTCCAGGCGGTTACCTTAACCTCTGAGGTTGACTCGATGCTTCGATTGGGACTGCTTCGCTTGGTACCTTGGATTTTGATACGACAGAAGCGCACTTAGGACTTATTGTTTCCAACACTCCCCTTCGCTTCTGGAGTGTTACTGCTGGTGACGTGGCCTTGTCCAGTCAGCATCATGCAGTATTCGAACTTCTGCTTGCCGAGTTTCTTGGTCAAGTAATCGGCTGCCATCTCGGATGTTGGACAGTATGACAGATCGAGTTTCCCTTTTTCTATCTCGTCCTTCACGAAGAAATAGCGCAGGGCGATGTGTTTCGTCCTGTTTGCGAAGCCGTTTTTGTTGGCGATGCGAATTGCTGACTGGTTGTCGCAGAACACGGTGAAGCTGGGTAACTCGGCTAGCTTCGCTTCTTCCAGTAGTTCGCGAAGGTAAAGTCCCTCCTTGGTGGCTGAGCAGAGTGCAATATATTCTGCTTCTGCTGAAGATAGTGCGATTAACTCCTGCTTGCTCGACTGCCAGGAGATAGGACCGATAGGCTCAAGGCGGTAGACATAGCCGGTGCGTGAGCGCCTGTTGTCGGTGTCGCCGGCGTGATCGGCGTCGACGTAGCCGATTAGCTTAGTCGGTGTAGCTGCGCTCTTGTGGTAGGTTAGCCCGATCGTCGCGGTGCTGACGAAGTAGTGGAGAGCGCGATCAAGTTCCGCCAGGTGTTCAGCTTCAGGCTTCTTGAGATAGGTGGCGAGCTGACTTGCGGAGTAGGATAAGTCAGGACGGCAGGTGACGGCGGCGAATAGCAGGCATCCGAGCTTCTTCTGATAGTCGCGTATGCCGGCGGGCTTGAGTAGAGTAGTTCGTTCCTTCTCGGTTCCTGATGTGTAGCGGTAGGGCGTGGAGATGGCGCTTGGTGTGAGGCTGAAACGTTTCGCGATGGTGTCGGCGTATTTCTCGGCGCTTAGATAGATGGCGTTTTCTTCTTCGCGGATGTTGAGCCCGAGGTACTGTGTAACGGTGGAGGAGACCGTGAGCGTGAGGTCTTTCTGGAGCTCTCCTTCGAACCACGTGGCGATGCCGTCGGTTGACCCAATGTAGAGGAGATCGTCCACGTAGACGATCAGGAGAACGTAGTCGCTTCCCTTAGTGAGGCGGTACATGCCTTGGTCGTGAGGTAGTTGACTAAAGCCGATGCGGATGAGACGGGCGTGCAGGTACTGCTGCCACAGTCGCGGTGCCTGCTTGATCCCGTAGAGCGACTTAAGTAGTTGACAGATTCGGTTGGGTTCGCCGTGGGAACCGTGCGGGAGCTCGACGTAGATTTCTGCATCCACAGGTGCGTAGAGGAAGGCATTCGCGACGTCGATCTGCCGTAACTTCTTCTTCTTCATGGCGGCAATGGCGAGGAGAATTCGGAGTGACGTGTGGCGGCTGACTGGAGCAAAGGTCTCGGTGAAGTCTCGTCCTTGCTCTTGGTCGAATCCACGTACGACCCAGCGTGCTTTGAATTTTTCGATCGTGCCGTCTGCTTTCGTCTTGATGCGGAAGACCCATTTCCCGGTAAGGATGGTTTTGTTCCGTGCCACGCTTACGGGAACAACCTTCCAAGTGTTGCGTTCCTCTAATGCCTTCAGTTCTCTATCCATGGCTTCACGCCATTTCTCCCTGTGTTCCCCCCCCAGAGCCTGCTGAACCGTTGCAGGCTCCTTAGGAAGCGAGCTGCGTGTGTTCCCGTGGACTGCGGTGACGAGGCCGAGGATTTGCAGCCCAGTCTGTGAGTATCGAGGGAGTTCTGGATCCTCGGGATAAGCTGCTTCGTCTCCCGTTTCTGGGTCGGGCATGAAATGTGGCCCTACCCTTTCTGCTTCGTTGGTGTTGACTGTCACAGGTGTTACGTAACCATCGTCGGCGAAACGGTAGAAGATTTCGGCGTTGTTACTGTCGCGAGGATTATCCTCATCCATGGGCACGTCGACGGAGCAGTATGGGAGAGGTCCGGCTTCTTCTGAGGCGTTGTCGACGTTCTGTTCATCCCAGTCTGCTTCGTCCGCTGCTGACGCGAAGGCTCGGTCACCACGAAAACCACTGGTGAGGTCCCGATTCTCGTGCAAGTTGGCGAGGTACGTCTGAAGGGTGAGTCTTTCGTAGAAGATCACGTCACGTGCTGCTACTGTTTCCTTTGTGTGGACGTCGAAGATTTTCCATGCGTTGTAATTTTTCTCGGT